CTTTAACTTCACCAACCGAGGTCGGTGTCCCCTCCCGGGGTGTCTCAAGCTCTCCCGACGTGTCGGGGGTACCCTTGCGGGCAGAACTGTCTGATTCCTCGGCCTCCATGGTGGAGGCCGGGGAGGGAGCCCGTTGCTCCGCGCTTGCGCGTCCGCCCAGGCGGAAGCGTGGTAGCCACCCTCAGGTGGCTCCAAAACCAAATGATACGAAAAGACTGTGGGTGTGGGGTTCCTGCCCTCTTTGAGCCGCGGACCCGCTTCGCCGGGCACCTAGGTCCTTACGGGGACCTAGGCGGGACCACCCCTCCTACTCCCATATCCTAATACCTAAAGTGGTTACCCTGGGTTGAGGATAGTGTTCTTGGGCAGGGCGTCCCCCACACCAAGGGCCAGTAGTAGGGCGTCCCCCACGTCAGGCCGGTGCGCGTAACAGGCATGGCCCGTGGGTGCCACCCCTTGCGGGTGGGTCATGGCTATTGTTGCGGCCCCGTCGGCAACCGCTGGTTTCCGGAGGTGTGGGGGTCGCCCTGCCCTGCGGCTCGGCTGTTGGAGGTCAGCCTGCTCTCTCCACCTCGAGCGGTGGGCATATCCGGGGTAGTCGAATTGATGGTCGCGCGGTGGGCCCAATGCTCGATGGGGATCGATCCCCAGGGCCCGCTGTTGGCGAGAGGTGGAGGCGCAGCAAGGCGGTGGTTTGCTAGCTCGCGGGAGGCCAGAGAGTGGGCCAGAACGGTTACACGATTCACAGCATGCGCGCGCACAAATCCGCATGCGCGATGCCCGACCGCGGGTCCATTGCTATCACATCAAGACAAGACAACACAAGTGCGCGCGTCCAGGCACATCGTCACCGTCCACTGTTCATCTACGATCGACCCATTGTCCTCTAATTCCAAGCATCTAACACCCGACCCCCTGCCCCTAAGTACTACAACTTCAGAAGACCATATCTTCGCCATTTCTTAACATAATAGGGTGTTTAAAGGCGCGTTAGAACCAAGAAGCTCTAAATAACACCCCCAAAAGGCCATTTTCCGAATTACATAATCATCACTCCAGAAAACGTCAATAAATGCCTAACCCCAAGTAACCATGTCACAGCGGTGCACAACAGGTAGATTTGTTAGTTTTGGTTTTTTGAGACTTGGCGCTGTCGCTTTTGTATAAATCCACCACATTGTAAATATGGGAAAAGTATATGCCATATTTATTCTAAAGATTGACATGAATGATTTAGCTAAAACGCTTTTATTGCTTTTTCAAAAGCTTGTCGCAATGCTTCCACATCGCTAGCTTCATTATAAATGCTGATTCCAAATGATGAACATATTGTATCATCATTTGACTCAACACTTTTGTGCTATCATTTGAGTGCAATGTCATGATAAATGCACCCAACCGATAAGCCAACTTCTTGAATCATTTTTTTGGTTCCCTTGTGAATTGACTACTCCAACTCATCAGCCAACATTTGCTAAGGGGTAGCCACATTTTCTTTGTCAGTTGCTGGAATTGCCTTGTTACCATTTCCCATAGCCCCAAGGGCTAGTTGATTGATTGATGCATTGGTTGGTGCACCAATCCACATGGATTGATGGGCATAAGCAGCATTGTGGACTCAAAGATGCCGCAAGCAGCCATTGATTCAAGTGACCTCTTTTGTGGTTGTGTTGCCGGGTACCAGGCAAACACTTTATCGCCAATCTCCATAGTAAACCCCTCGGCGTTGCCATCAGGTAACGTACAAGGCAGCCTTAGCAGGTTGTCATAGCTTACTTCGAATTCAAGTTGCATTTGCGACAGAGGGAGATCCCAATCATCACTTGCGTTGCCTTCCTCATCTGTTTCATGAATTTCTTTTTTTTGTGTGAGGAGGGTTTATGCCTACCCATCTCGTTGTTTCATCCTCTAATCCACGCTTGCTATGGTGACCAAGTCGGCCACCACCACTACATTAGGGGTCCCTATATAGCCGGCCCCCCCCCCCCTTTGTGACATGGCCACAAGGGGGGCGCTATTGAGGGCCGGGGGGCTATTGGGTTAGCTTTTGTTTTATTGCATTTAATTGTAGTTTTAGTTAATATGGTTTTGTGCAATAACCTGCTAACACTGTGGCGGTGCCTGGCGACAGCGTCAAGTGGTAGTGTGCTAGTATAACAGCATGGCAGCGTGGTGGTGCAGTAGTGTGGCGGCGCTGTTGTGATCATCGCAGGCATGCGATGGCTGTAGGATTGGTGTGCCCAGTCTGCCAAATTATTTCTGGGGTCAGTGGCGTTCTGTTTGGGCCGCCAACTAATGGGGCTCATCCAAAAGTTAGTGCATTAATGATATCACTCAGCTGGCGCCCCGTGAGGTCTAGATATGATGCAAAGGGATGTCAACAGCCTCAGCACCTTCGCCACATTAATCATTATCACATTGCAAGCTCAAGGCACTCAGAATGCATGGAGATGACTTTGATGACAAAGATAGATGATGGTAATTGTATCATACGCCCAAAGAGTTCACTGAGATACTATAAAGATGTTGAGCACAACGCCAATACGTGGTAGGGCATCACACGGAGACACATGAGTCAAACATACCCCAAATATACCTTAGAATACTGAGGAGCACCCGGGTTGCCACTGGACACATGCATTTGTTTAGGAGCTGCCCGCCTGGTAGTCTACCATGGATCGTGGCAAGATAGAGCCAGGAGGGGCGCATCGAGGTGCCACGTGCTTGTTTGATGGGAATATACCTTGTGGGGCATAATGTAGTTGCTGACCACAAGAAGTGTGGTTGCCTGGTGGGAATGTGGTCCTTGGGTCCCACGTGGTGGCTGATTGTGGGCAGTGGGGTGTCTTGGGTTGAGTTGTGGTGAAGCAGCAGGCGTGGCAGAAATATTCCGGGTATCAAAAGAGCATCTCTTTGGAATGGGGGTATCTTTTCCAAAGGGGTCTGGACAGCGCAAAGAGGAACTGGTAGTTGTAAAAACGGTTGCATGGGGGTCGTGTGTCTCTTGCACGGCGGTCTAGGCGCTCAGTCTGGCTGCTTAGCCCCCTTGACCGTGCGCACAACATTTGCCTCAGCGTGAGCGCAATAGCGCTCGACCTTTTCGAAAGCCGCAACCAATCTAAGCCTTGTTTTCAAGGCGCTTCCTTATTGTTCAAGACTAGCACCTCCAACGTGGCCTAGTTGCCCACCAGAACACGCCAATTCTTGTCATTGTACAACCTTGTCGAGGCAGAGAGGAGCGTTCCCCGTGTCATACACTGACCTGTTGTGCATAAGGCAACCCTGGCCCATGGATTTAACCTCCGTTTTGACTTCGTCGACCTAGAGGTGGCCATTCAAGGGTGCCATCCGGTCCGTTAAATCCGGTTCGTTAATTTTTATCAGCTGTCCGTTAAATTTCGTTAAAGAAAAAGGGAGAAAAAATCAGAAAAAACGAAAAAAATCTAAAAAAATCGAAAAAGAACCCAAAAAATCACAACAACTGCGGCTAATTGAAAATCTAGTATGCATAGGTTAAAATAAAATACAAACATACTCTCTAATAGCGAATTCCATAAACTATAAGTATGACTAAAACCCAAAAATCCCCAAAAAATCCAAAAATCCGCTAATTTTTGGTTAATTTATGTCTTTTTTCGTTATTTTCTGTTAATTAACGGAAAATTAACGGAAATTTACCTCTGTCCGCTATTAACGGATCCGGGTGGCCACCTCTACGTCGACCATTGAGGAGCAGTTGCGACCGGTTGGGGCACTCTGAGCGGCAACTACAAGAGTTTCCGTAAGCATACTTGTATGGTTGGCTGACAGTGTGTGTGTTGCTACCCTTTTGAAGCTTCCCTTTTTGGTTGCCGCTGTTTTGTTGGTCATGTCGGCGCGCCAAGTAGTTCTTCATGAAGAGCCGGTTTGCACGAGGGGCAAAGCTTGTTCGTTGAGTGCACCCTCAACTGTTGTGGTGCTGAGGCTGTCGACATGGCTCAGCTGCCCGTTTTAGGGTGACTTTACTGTGCTATCTTTAGGGACGACGGCCAGAATGGACCGCCATTCTTTGCAGTTCATAGTTGCCTTGGCTGCAATATCCCTATGCATGCATGGTGCGGATCCTGCTCATGTGGTAAGGATTTGCAAGGGGGAGGCTGTTGTTTGAGGCGCTACTACCCAACCTATCGGCCAGTGCGAGTATCAAAGCTCCCTGTGCGCAAATTGGTTGTGTGGTGCCAAAGCAACTGATCAAGAGTTGTTTTGATGACGATGAGGGCGACCACGATGATGGAAGCCCCCGCGACCCCGATTTCATGGAATGCGGAACTTCTAGTAGCGATGAGGATTCCGGCAGGGATATGGAGATAGATTTGTATGATAATGATGAGAGAGAAAGAATGGAAGCCACGACATTGGGCACCCCTCCCTATCCCTCCATTCCGCTTGCCGCAAGGAGCCCAGGTGGGCATTGCCCACTTTGCTGTGCATAGATGGAGATCCGCCATGGAACACACACCTCCCTTGGCCTCCCGGGGAGGCCTTGGGCCTGGGCCCACAACGGACGCACCGGACGTGCCATCTGCCCGTCCGCAATATGCCAAGTTCGTGGAAACAGATGGCCATCGCGCCATCCGTCCACTGGACACCTCTCTTGGGTGTGTTTAGTTGTCCGCAATAGTAGCTTGAGGTCCCATTGTGCAGCGAAGCTGCATAAAGTACTACAGAAATGGTGACAAGCCAGAAAAGGGGGCGCTACTTGGGGTCGGGGGCGCTTTTGGGGGGGCGCTATATAGGGACCCCTACTGTATTCCAATCCGCCCTTGCTCTATTTCACTAACCCGCAAGTTCTCTTCGCGACTGGCTTTTAGGCTTCTGAGCTATCTTGGCGCCCCCCCCCCGACCGGCACAGCCGCCCCCGGGCTCCAGCGGGGAGCGCCAGGCCGCGAGGTTGATACGGGCGCCAGTCGCGCGGCTACCCCTCTCCCCACAGCACGCTTGGCCGGGAGGCTGTTTTCGACATGCCCTATCTATCCTCCGAAGCCCTGAAGGGCCTGAAGGCGTACCAATACAAGGCGGGTGGCTACACGTGGCTGGACGACCTGCACACGCCGGCATGGAACTGTGAGATCCGGGGGGTGGCCGTGTCCGGATGTGTGGGACGCGGCGGCCGTGTGGGGCGCGGCGGCCATGCGGGGTATCCTGGAGTTGTGCTGTTGTTGGTGTTGGCGCCGATCTGATCGCATGGAGTGTCGACGGTGGAGACCACTGTGTGTCAACCTGTGCTGCCGAATCTCGAAGTTTTTGCGCGACTTCGAAGCTCATCCAACTTTGTGTGCCACTGCATTGTCCTCTTGAGCAAACGGAAAGAATGAAACCAATGGAAAAGAGCAGATGGAAGACCTGACGCAGGTGTGCGCGCGTGGTTGTGACGCAGATGTAGTGAGCAAGTTGCCCATGTGGCTGGCGCCGAATATGATAACGCTGTCTGGCACATTGGCGGTCGTCATGGCGTACCTGTTGACGATTTGGTACCTGCCAAATTTCCAAGGTGCGTGTGTGGGAATTTTCGGGCCGGGTTCAGTGTCTGGCGCAGCCCGCTTGCGCAGTTTATTCTCTGGTCCATCGCCTAAAGTCTGTTGACACGAAGGATAATCAGTCAGCAGTTGGTCGCCTCGTGTTAGAAATGAATTAACTACTTAGTGTACAGGATGGGGCAATCCCATTTGCCCACTGGCGATGCAGATGTGGTGACACTTTGGAGGTCCAGGTGTCAAGGTTGAGAAGGGATAGTGCAACATCCTGTCCACCATATGCTATAGCCCATACCTTGATCAGGTGCGTTGCAGTACCGTTGGAATATCCATTTGTGACCACCCAAAAACGAGATGGATGAAGGCAATCTTCCCCTACAAAACAGACAAGTCAGTCCTCCACACATATGACTTCTCTTCCCATCTTTGCCACATGACTAACAGCTGAAACATTCTTGTCAGCAGTCATTCGAGAGGTTCCAGCAATGAGATCAAGCATGGTTGCTCTTTGTGGGTTGGACAGCAGATTTCTTGCCATGCACGGTGCTTATCTGGTGTTGCGATGTATGGTGACTGTGCAGGCGAAGCACCTCGTTGGGTGTACGCAGCAAGTGCCTTTTCTGTTTTCTTTTATGTCAACCTGGATTGCATCGACGGGAAGCAGGCCCGCCGAACCGGGAGCTCTTCACCTCTTGGGCAGCTGTTCGATCATGGCTGTGATGCATTGGTGGTGCACATCCTCATTGCAAACGTCATCGCGAACTTCAGCCATTCCTGTGGATGGAAAGTGGTGGTTGGTGCCTTGTCGGTAGGTGCCAAGCATGGCTTTTGGAAATCACCTTGGGATTACCTGTCCACAGCAGTGCACAGCACTGCCGTTGCACCTATGAGATGAGTACGGGCGCTGAGCCCTTGTGTAGGTGTGTGTGCCAAAAGTTGTCATAAATCCTCTGCTCTCAAGCCTCGATTAGATGACTGATGGGGGTCTTGAATTCCTGCACGTTGTCTGGGCACAGCATTGCCCATGTGTTTGGAGGAATCTTGCGCAGTCTTTCACTGCCTTTGCAACCATCGAGTTATGGTTTGCTGCGCATGCATAATCTACAAGGCTGAAAATGATTATGTGGTTTCCTTCACCGCTATAAACTAAGAAATTTGATATTCAATAGTCATCAATATGTTCAGAAGTGTCGGGAAGCACTGTTCCAGATTGGAATGCACAAGAGCTGCACCTGTAGTTGGGTTGCGTAAGCACACCACCACCTTCTTGCATTCCCCATTGCTTGCTCCTGGCATCGCGGCATTGAAATTGTCTGTTGGTCGTATGCTGTCTGGCATGAAGGACCTTGAATTAGGATACCAAAGGAGGAGTGGTTCAAGTGGAGGAACATGGTTGGCTGAACCACTGCAAGCTCTTCGCCCAATCATGTTTGGGAACAGCACCTAACACCACTAGACAGCAACATAAAGACCATGATATGCTGGGAGTGCAGAGACAGTTGAGGGCATTTTGGCATGTCTTCATATTGGGGTAGCCCTTAAGGTAATGGAAGCTGAAAAATGTCCTGGGGATTCTCTGTGTCCTGATTATGATCCTGTGACATCCTCTGGACTGCTGGACTGATTGTATTTGAATCTTGCTTGCAGATAATGACACCTTGGGTTCTGGCCCAGTGGGAGGAGTACCATACAGGCATGATGTTGTACAGTGTCTCCGGCTTATGGGGTGTGCTGGAGGCCAACTATGCAACTGCTGGGGTGCATGTCGTCACTGCTGTCTGGGGGCCGGCTGTCTGGAGACTCAGGCCACTGGGACTGCCTTTCGGTGAGTCGCGGATCGGGTTGCAAAAATGGCATGAACGGCAGCTGTTTGTTGCACAATGGTGCAGATGCCGTCTCTTTTTCCTGGTCTGCACCTGCCCCTATTGATGTCAGGGTTGAGTTAATTTTGCCGTGAAGCATCCTGCGTCCTCAGTACCTCTATTCCATGACATCAAGTGTGCTCAAGGACAACTCATATCTATCACTTCCCCTTAGTGCACTATGTCAAATTTTTTGACAGCCTTTGGTGTTGTTTTGGTAGTTTGGTGTCCATCTGTTCCTGTTCTTACTGGCAAGGACTGAACACGGATGAAATGGAAGTTGTTCAGCAAAGTGGCAGATTGTCGATGGTGCTTTTGCCCCTATGGCTGTTCTGAAATGTTAGACCTTTTAGTGGGTAGGGGAGATACTTGAATAGGTAGCCCAATTAGATACACACAAGCTGCAAAGTATGTATCAGTGGCACCAGGTGACCCAATTCTGAGATGCTTTGATAGGACATCGGGAATCACAGAAGGCACAATAGAACACAAGTGAATGATGCAAAACCCAGGCCCTTTTGCAGTGGCAGGAGACATAGCATTGAAATGGGTAGTTCGCAGACAGCAGCATGTGTTTGGAAGTGCAGCAATTTTGGGGTGGGGTTCGGATAAGGTGGAGAGGGGTGATGTAAGGGCTTTGTTAGCTTCCCCTATCGCACACCTTGGCTTTGTGACATTCGAGCAGAGTTGCTGATGATCGTCCAGCTGCTTGTCCAGTACTTTGGCAGCTGACACCCCGATGCGGATTTTCTGTTTGCAGAGCTGGCTGATGGCGCGCTTGCTGGAATGACGTTAGCGGGGGCCATACAGACTGCTGGGCAGATTTGGCGTGTGCTGAAGTATGATACAAGCAAAATGTCAAAACAGGTTTGTTGCCATTAAGTCATCGTGCTCCACTCATGCAGACAAGAAATGGCAGCATACCCACCCAGGCCATGGCTTGAACAGATGCCTGATTGGTACTTGGGCGGTCACGGCTCACGCATGCTATGGAGTGTGCATCCTGCCAATCACAATTTTACAGAATATTCCAGTGTTTGTTTCTGCACCATCTATTTTGGCTGCCAGAATTCACTTTTGAAGTGAAGCCTGTGGCCTGATTGCTGATCACTCAAAGTTCCCTCGTAAGTATGACAAGCTGTTATAACTATGGTGGCCCGAAAGGTTTAGGGCACACAAATTGTTGATTAAATGCCATGTCCTGTGTGTTCCAGTACTTGCATTGCACCAAGGGCTGCAGCCCAGAGAACGTATCCTCATTTGGATTCCTGTCTACCATGTTCAGAAGCATCTATGCTTCTACGCACTGCCAATGCTGGTGTCCAGGATAGTTTCCTAAAAACGATATGGCATCTTCACGTTAGCCTTGACCATGCCTGCATGATTGTTGCATCTCTATATTGAGTACCTGTGCATTGTGTTTGGGTAGAGGCCACTTTGGCAAGGAATTGTCTATTCGACACTGTTAGCCCCAGGGGTGCCATTCTTTGTTGGTGGTATACCATGAACGTATCATTTGTTATTTATCGATTTTGCGCTGCTCGTACAATGTGCGGCTATTGGTTTGGCCCATGTGGAGTGGCTGAAAGTCACGTGTCAGTAACGCGCCACGTGGTAGTATGGGACTTAATCGTGTACTTTGTTATTGTACTTGTTATGTCTGTTTCAGTCGTTCTTGTTTGTATTGTACTCATGATCGTTGTCTCAGGCCATCTTACGCCTGTGCGGTGCCGTTGCTGCCTCTCATGCATTTGATTTGCTGAATTTCAATCGTTCAATGACCTCCTCGTGCCTTTCAGGAGCGCGGGCACAAAGAGCTCGGAGGCGGCCTCGCAGCCTGGCATCTGCTTTTCTTCCTCATGTTGTTTTTGCCGGCAGCCATGTGGCTCGGCGCTCCCACGACTGCCCCCGGACAGTGCCGCGCAATTTTCAGCAGCTTTGGGCTCACTTTCGCCCTGGTTTCTACGCAGCTGATTGTGGCCCACATGGGCAAGGTGGCATTCGAGCCGGCTTGGTGGTCAATGTGCCTTGTGTTCGTGGGCGCTGCGAACGTGCACCTTCAGCTATTTGATGGACCCGCACTGTCTTTCATCATTGCTGCGACGATACTGTGTGGGTACCTGCACTACGTCACATCAGTTGTCAACGAAATCTGTCAATTTCTCAACATTTGGTGTCTATGGATCAAGAAGTCGAGCTGATGAAGCGTTCATCTGCCCTCCTCTTTGGGGTCCTCCATCATTGTTTTCTTTGCTCCATATCCCGAAGAACACACGTGCAGCAGTTTTTGGAGACCCATAACGGGCTTTTTCTTCATTTCTTTGCCTTCTTCTATGGCGTCTTGGGCGACCTTTAGCCTGGGGCCGTGTGCAGTCGCGGTATGGCCGCATGGGCGGGCTTGTCGCAAACCTGCGCGGTAAATTATCGCCTGCTTCGCAAGCAGTGAATCGCTGGGGGCAGCGGTCGCAGGGCAAGGCCATTGTTTTCGAATTGGGGTGAGGAACGGCTGTCTGTCGATGTAAACATCATTGTGGTTGCTGTCGGCGCGTTGCAGTGGGCCGTCTTCACGCCGTGACGAAGTCAGCCGTGCTGTCACCGGCATCTTTGCCTTCACGAGGCGGTGCCAGTGTCCTTCCTGTTCAGTGAAGGAAGCGTGTGGCCAAGGCACAGTCCGTTGCTTGGCCAGGCCTCCAGGAACGACGGAGAACCCTGCTGCAGGCACTGGATACGATTGGCTCTTGGCGGCTCCTCCTCAGGAGGGCACTGCGGGCTGGGCCGGCGAGCCACATGCCACAACAGCAAGGCATTGTACGATTAACAGCCGCCTCCTGTCCAAGACCGTGGTGGGGCCTCACGTGGAACGAATAGGAAGCGGAACACACAAATTGGGAGTAGCTGTGCGAGGCCAGGCGCACAGCAGAACACTCTCTTACCTCGACGAATGTCCTTGGCGGTCCCTGGGCGGAAGAGGGACCAAGAATCTCTTCTACATTGCGTGCCGCCTTCGAATCTCCCGATACTGCTCTACGCACGCATTATGCGCATGTGCAGAGCAGATTGCCAGTGGCCACAGACAAACAGCTGCACAACAGACAGTTGCGGCCGTGGTGGACGTGCTTACCACGCCTGCCTGCAGTCGGAATGTTGGCAGTGGACCACCAGCTGGCGATGCTGATTTGACCAGCCAACAGTACCGCAGTCCTTTCCAGTCGCATAACGGCATCCAGCCACGTGCCTGCATCCAGATGGGACTCCCGCGACGTACGCGTGAGGGACATGTAACGCTGCCACGTGCGCGGTGTGAACTTCATGCGGATGCAATCCGATCCGAACCTTCATGTGGTCGTTGGTCGACCATTTGCGCTGCAATGATTGCTGCTGCGGCGCAGTTGGTTAAATTGGGGGGTCTTGGCTGCGGGGTGTTGCGCTCACAGCGGTGGCCCGCCGTGCGCCCTCGCCCGCCCCGCCCATTAGGATCCCCGGGCATCCCCACGCCGCACCGCTGGCCCCATTGGCCAATCGCCGGCTGTGGAGCCGCCGGTCGTCCTCGCACACCCGAGGGGGAATCCACGTGGAGGAACGCTGAGCCGCTGCAGCCATGGGCGCACGAGGGGCAGCGTTGGGCCTGATGGCGGCCGTCATGGCCATGGCGATCGCCGGATCCAGCATTGACGGTGCGGGCCACGGCGCGTCGTCCCCTCATGGTCGAGTTCGCGCCCACCCTCCGCGCGCTGCGTGTCGGAGTGCCCTCCGGACTCCACAGGCGCTTGCACCGCGCCGCCGAGTCCTCAGTCGCGCGAGTGCGCCGTGTGGGCGCCACTGGTGGTACGAGCGGGCCAAATGGTGCACCCCACCCTCTCTGCCCAGGTCCCTTCTTTCCGTCCGTGTTCTCTCAGCTTCCGGAGTCCAGCAGGTCGCTGCCCGAGCAGCCACAAAGGTTATCGTGCTTCAGCCCTCAAGCACAGTTTGCTGCCCAGAATCGCCGACCCAGCCGTTGGGCCTCAATGTTGACCAGATTGCTTGCCCACCCTCTTTGGATGTGGGCTGCAGCAGGCTTGGCATTTCCTCCATCGCGCTGCGGTTGCCGGCACTGGTGGTGTTGTTCCGCTACCGTCGCAAAGCAACCGTACGTGTCCGTCACTGTTTAAATATGACATTCACGCGGAAATCACGTTCGCCGAGGTGCCTGCCTCCTCCGACTGTTTCTCGGGGGAGAAATCACAAATAGCGAATGCTTGTGTCCTTGCGACGCGTTGCGCGGATGGCAATACGCAGCACAGCACCTCAAACTCTTTGGTCTTGTCTCATCCTTCTGGCGGAGCGCTGTCCGGCAGGTCTCTTGGGCAGACATTTTTTTTTCACGCATGGAGCAATGCAAGCTCACGTACTGTGGCCAACATGGGGCATTCCACAGTAGATTGTGAATCCGGCGCCCTTACGACCAGCTCAATGAACTGGCGCCGTCGGCGCTTCCTTCTGTGCGCTTCCATTTCTATGTCCAGACACATCTGCATCTGGATCAGTCTGGCTCATCCACCTGCAAGCAGCCCACCAATCGTTGTACCTTTCTGTATTCGGTCGCCCTGTATACTGCGGCTTGGACCTGGGTAGCTGCTCTGAGCTTCATGGGATGTTGAAGGGGATTGAGAGACAACGTATTCGGCGGCATACGAAGGTGCCACATGAGCTCAAAAGGCGGAGCAAGGTCATTACGTGATTTTCAAGTATGATTTTGCGTCACTTTCAATCGATTGCGAATGGCGTCCATCAGTGCGTGGTGCCATTCAGAATTCCCCACAATGCAGTTCAGGAATTGTGTGATGGGAAGCAGCAGAGATTGGCCATTGAACATCTGCTACTCGCATGGCACTGTGCACTATGCATGGCATGGTTCAGCAGCCACAGAAGTTTGCTTGCTAATGTCCGCGACGATCATTGCGCGGTTGGCGACAAGCGAGCTCCAGGACCTCATGAAACCCATGCACGGATTAAGAAAGCCGGAGCTGTTTGTAGGATGTAGCACGTCTCTCAGCGCTGAGATTAGCGCTAGCACAGGAAACTGCAGTGGCCTCGAAAGCCACTACTCCCAGCCTGCGGGAGGCTTTTCTGGTAAGGCCAGTGTCAAAACACAAGAATTGGACATTAACTGACGTTGGCAACTCAAGCATAGGGCCAAAGTATAACCCACCAATGACGCAAACACCGGTACTGGTACCTTCACGGACGGAGCACCAGAACCTGTACGACACTTGTGCTATTAAGACTGGCGGGCTGTCAACTGTGGTGACTGTTTGAGCGCATTCGGTGAGGAACGCCCTTCTGCACGAGACCGTAAAGAAGAAAGTGTGGTGCTCGATAACAGGCGAGTTCAGCTCCAGGCGGGAGCTCCAGGAGGTCGCCCGCGCCGGGCAGTCGGGCTCCGGGCTGCAGATACGGTCCGCCTACGCCGACGTCGACGTGCAGGGCGGCAAGAACGTCGACGTCCGCACGCCCTTCGGAACCGTCTTCGTGGACGGGAACGTGGTGGTGGACACCCCGCTGGTGGGCGTCCAGAAGAACGTCGGCACCAAGGTGCTGCTAAAAGAGGGCGGCGAAGTCGTCGATGCCCAGGTGGAGAACGGGCTCGTCAGCGTGCAGGTCGACGAGGATTCGGTCGAGGATGGCCCCGCCCCGCCGGAGGGCGACGGAAACAACGGAGGAGACGAGGAAGAAGGGTTCAGTGTGTCGATTCCTGGGCTTGTGGACGTGAACGTTGGGGATGAGGGCAACGTGAGCGTGCAGGTGGGGTCGGAAGTCGACCCTCTGGTCGACGTCCAGGTGGACGAGGACGGGGTGTCTGTCGAGGCCCCCGGCGGCGTCCTCTTCAACAAGACGGAAGAGGGCATCAGGGTCCGGGTCGGCGACGACGGGGAGATCCTGGACTTGGAGATCGACGGTGGCAAAAACGTGTCCGTGGAGGCGCCGTTCGTGACGGTTCAGGTCGACGACAGCAGCGTGGTGGTGGGGGGCATCGCGGACGTCGAAGTCGAAGACGGAACCGTCAGCGTGTTCGTCGCGGGGGATGAGAGCGACAGCGTGGTGGGCGTCAGCGTGGGCGGGGGCGGCGTGGGCGTGACGACGCCTGTGGTTACCGTCCGGGCTGTGGACGGCGAAGTGGATGTGGACGTGCCGGACGAGAGCGGCTACGAGGTGATGACCACGGAGGGGGGGACGGTGGTGAAGACGGGCGACGGGGCGCAGCTCGTGAGCGTCATGGCGGCATCTGGGAATGTCAGCGTCGAGGTCGGGGACGGCGGAAGCCTGGTGGACGTCGAGATACTGAGCGCCGGGGCGTCCACCGTGCAGGTGGCGGCGGCTTGAGCTGCAAGGCACGGAGGGTGGGTGTGTTGCCCGATGCCCTAACTGCGTGAGACAAGGCACCTTGAGATCGAATATTTGGCCTTGGTTTTGTTGGCGAGCAGGCTTGATCAGAAGTATTGGGTTGGTAAGGTGAAGTGGAAGGCCAATGTGACTGAGATCACGGGTTAGGCATTTGAGGATCGACTTGTTTAGGTCCAAGTGTCTTCGGAACGACAGGTGCATGTGTGAGTGATGCACGGTTGTGGGTCCATCGCCGGGTTGGAGGGGTGCACTGAGTTCAGCATGAAATGAGACTGAGAATCCAAATGTAACATACATGTGCTTGTGCTTTAGATGTATCAAAGTTGGCAAACGCAACGTACTGCAGCTGTGCAGCTGCACTGGTGTGCTTGGGCTTTGCACATTGAAGGTTGCAACATGATGTGTTTGGATGTCTGCACTTGAGCATTAGCTCAAATCAAGCTGAGCTAGGGCGGCCGCAAGCGCTTCTGTGGCAAAATGGGCAGCTGCAGTGACAAATAGCTGGAAGGCCAAGCAGCGGGAATTCCGCCTTTGATATAATGTCCACCTTTTTCCTGATTTCGTGCAACTCACTGGAACGGTCGGGAGGTCGTTCGATCGTCCCGCTTTAATCTGCTGGCGCGTCTGGTTGCTGTACGTCCCATCTCGATTCGCCCAAACTGCATCCGTTCCCTGGTCCTTTATTATGTTGCTTTCCTTTCCACTTTCTATTGAGTGACTTTATTGGCGTGGTGACCAGTTGAACGGCCCGCCACGATGCAGCAGCTCGAACAAAGCGTTCGATGTGGCCTTTGTATGAGGGAATATTGTTGCCCGCGGCTATCAGTCCGTGTTCGTGCAGCTCACAACCAGCGCGCAGTTACGAAACGACGGATTCGGGCAGTGCCATGGCGCATGGCCTCAAAAGGTGCAACGCGAACAGTTCTTCTTGACTGGTCGATCCACTCACGGAACGACAACTGCATTGCGAGGCAGAGCGGGCATCCAATTACCTGCCCAGCCCTTTCGCTGGGTACCCCAGTCTTTTCAGCACCTGATGTGCCCTAAATCCAAAAACAAACAGCTGGAACTCTGGGCTGGTCTCGTGTGGGGGGTCCTTGGCGAGTACGGATTCCGCCGGAGTGACAGTGGGGGTGTGATGCAACGCTGTCTCATCAATTGTTGGTGTGATGTCGTGCAGCGGCCCCCACCAGGAATATTTTTCGCCCGACCATATCCACGCGCATTGCACCACGGTCCCCAGCGGCTCCAGCGAGCATACCACCGTTCCCCGAGCGAGGACACGTCGCCTTCTGAACCCCCCGGCCCATTGGGCGGTCCCGCAGCACCGCTAACTGCACTCGCGGGCGGCGCCGACCCTCGGTCAACTCTCCCTCTCCAGATCCTGGGACGCACAGTTCAGCGGCTTGGCGCCATCCACTCACGCCCAGCCCTCAACTATTTCAAAATCGAACGGCCCCCCCGCCGGCAGAGATTGGCCCCGCTGGGGCGCAGATCCGCTCCAGCCGGGAGGAGTCGCTATTGGCGGGCCAGGGATCTGCGGCGGGGAATGCCGGTTGGTGCGGCGCTGCTGTGCGCACTGGTGCTGCTGGCGGGGCACCGTGCGGGCGCCGTTCGAGAGACGAAGTACTACGACGTGCTAGGGGTGGCCACCGATGCGGACACCGCGACCATCAAGAAGGCGTACAGGGCCCAGGCGCTGTGAGTGTCATGGAATGCGCTGCTGCTGTGTTGGGATGGGTGCACTGCCTCGGTGCCTGACGCGGGAGATGTTTCCTGTTGTTCTTCACGTCCAAACCGTTGCATCACGTTCAAGAAACAGGCGCCACCACCGGCCCTGGGGCTGGCTCTGAATGTGTTTGTTTCCAGCTGGTGACTCCATTTGCTGATGGTCTGGGCCTGGAAGACTGTTGGTTCGATCCTCTGCAGTCGCCCACGTTCGGCGGCATGTCGCCCATTCTCCTGTCTTGCATTGTTTCGAGTTTGCTGCTGTCTCTGGCTGATCTGGCGCGCCGCTTGCGTCGTTCAGAAAATGGCATCCAGATCGGAATCCTGACAACAAGGAAGTGGCGGAGAAGAAATTTCAGGAGGTGGGCGGGCCGCCCTGCTGAACTGATACCAGCCTATGTGTGGCTGCCTGCTGTTCCTGTTGGACTAAGATATTTCAGCATCGTTTTCTGCAGTATAGATCCAGTCTCGCAACGGACTTAGCCGCAAAGGGTGTTGCTCATTATGCAACATGTCTGCTTGCTGTGAAAGACGCTCTTTTGTTTCTGAAGCCTCTGGGTTTGGCCCATGGGCCTTGCAGTTGCAGCCTGTGTGCTCAACGTTCCAGATGCGTGTGTGTCTGATGCTCCTTTGTATGTGACAATTGATGCCAGTTACCATCTTTCTTTGTAAGTTACAGAATACCAAAAATAACACTGTTGCTGTTGTAAAGGGGTGTTATTGTAATATTTCATAAATATTATCAAAAAGTGATGCTGCCACCATTCAGGCACATCAGAATCTTCTTGGTTTCCAACATGGCACTGCAGGCTTTGTCAAATTTCTGGCTGCTCTGGAGTGTTACCATTTCTGAACTGCTCCATTGTGGATACGCTTGTAGATCGCTGCAGCCTATGAGACGCTGTCCGACGATGAGCAACGTAGAGTTTATGATCAGGTGAGATGCCCCTGTGAGGAAGGCGCGGGGGGGTTGCCCTGAAAAAGGCTCGAAAGGGAATGTGTTCGATGATACATTCTGCAGAGTGCAGAGTGCATCCGCGTTTATTGGAATAGTGTCTAGACCTTGAGAGCTTATCACCAAGATGTGTTGAAGCAAAGTCCGATGCCAGATCTGAAAGAACTGTGGGTTTGCTTCTTGTGCAGTATGGTGAGGCTGGTGGTCCAAACATGGGTGGCGGCGGCGGCGGCGGTGGCGCTGGTGGTTTCCGCATGCCTGTAAGATCTCTCTGTCTATCCAGAATTTAGGATAATAGAGTACAAGATCTCGGCATGGGTTCATGCATCATGCTTTGACAACTGTTTGCAGTGCACAGACTGTGAGTTGACTGCTATTAGAAGCAGTGTCACCAGCACTGCTGCTCTTCAGGCTCCCTTGTGCCCAGTGTAGCCACTTGTGACAAGATAAAGCAACTGCGTTCAGACCAGTCGCCACAAATTGTTCGTGTGGATGACTTCTGACAATGTGCCAGGAGAGAAAATCAGTGTTCATACACTGAGCCATTGTTTGCTGCATTCTACAGACCAATGCCTTCCATTTGTTCGAAACATTTTTTGGATCGAGTGGTGGAGGCCCCAGGGTGGAGTTCAACATGGAGGGAGGGGGATTTCCAGGGGGATTTCCTGGGGGATTTGCTGGTGGATTTCAGAATATGGGGGGTTTTGGCGGGACGGGCAGAGAGGGAGGGTTTGGCAAACAGGAGCGCCTGGGCGGAATGTATGACATCCACCCGAATGTCCAAATGCTCTCACCTGGAAATTTTGCTGACGATAAGGGTTGGGTTCGGCTTGTCGAGTTCTATGCACCCTGGTGTGGGCATTGCAAGGAACTGCGCCCCAAATGGGTCCAAGTTGCCGCAGCCCTCAAGGGCGTTGTCAAAGTGGGGGCAGTGGACTGCGATGAACACAAGGAGCTGTGCAGCTCTCACAAGGTTAAAGGATACCCAACCATCAAGGCCTTTGTGCCGGTGGAAGGGGCAGACTCGAAAGTTGTGATTTACAAAGGCCAGCGAACCATGGCAGCCATCAAGAACTGGGCGCTGTCTCTGATCCCGAACAAAGTGGACAGGGTGAGCAAGCAGTCGGACCTGGAGGCTTTGCTTGGTCGCTGCAAGAGCGTCTCCCGGGGCAAGGGCATGGCTGCCTGGAAAGTCTGCGTGTTGTTGGTCACTGACAAGGCAGAAACCAGTCCGCTGTACAAGAGTATGTCGTCCCTGTACGATGGGAAGATCGCGTTTGGAGAGGTAAGGGGCGCGGTGGGGAAGCAGTTCTACACCACAGCCTCCCGCACCCTCCTTGCAGTCTGCAACGGCGACCTGAAGAGCCTGGAGGTGTTTGAAGGAAAGCTGCAGGCAGAGAGAATAAAGTCTTGGCTTGACAAGTTTGTGGGTGGCAAGAAGTGCGATCGCGCTGTGCATGTGGATGCCAGCACGGACTTGGGCAGCCTCACAACTGCACAGCTGAAGGAGTACCTTAGGGAGCAAGGGCTGGCATGCAAGGGCTGTTTAGAAAAGTCTGATTATGTCAAGAGGGTCAGAGAGGCCATCACCAGCACAACTTAGCAAGGGTCCTTTCGAATTTTGGCCCAGCTGACCTGGTTGATAATGGCCTGCAGCTTGCTAGCCAGCTGCGAAGATTGTTGATTAAGTCCAAGGCAAGGGACTACAAGAGAGCATGTCAAGGTGCCTGCATACCGTTGTGTACAGCCGTTCAGTATTTTGGGGAGTGTTGGAGGCTAGGGGCCCACGAGGGGGAACGGGGGTGGGGTGGGGAAGAGGGAGAATATCTGATGCCTTCCATGGGAATGGCATGGACCCTGAACAGCGCCCTGTGGCCTTACCTTGTTTGCTTTGAAAATTGCCCATTGCAAATCTGATTCGTTGCAAATGGGACCTGGGGCCGAATCTTGATTTAATCAATTTTATTGTTGGTTGCTCATTCCTCGAGAGAAGGTTCCAAGTTTCGCCTCGCAACTGCCCATCATCACTGCCCATTGCATGTCAGCCAAGACTATAGCTAATCGGATTGACCCCTACCTTGAAAAAACAAGTTTCATTTTGCCATTTGTTTTGAGAGCTCAGGGCCATTCATGCAGGTCGCTGGGTATCCCTCCTATCTGCTGGTCTGTCTTGCTCTGTTTCAGTGGTCTTGCCTGTCTTGCTATAAATACTCGCATGCGAACAGCACATGCGTTTCCAGAGGAATGTGCTGTGCACACGCTGATGCACGCTCACTGCACTTATCCATGTGCCTATGCCCAAGCAAATGCTGTGTTGTCAACCACGATGCAAGTGACATCATTAAGGTCCCCCCAGGGGCTTCCAACAGTATCATGATGGCGTTGACGCAGCATCCATTCTTTTGCTGTCCTCAACAAAGAGATCATTCCAATCCGTGTCTGAAATATGTTCATCCACTGCGATCAGCACAAGGTACACCATACCAAGAGATAGCTTCCCATTGAGACATCCACAGAACGTTGCTGAAGATGCAGGAGTAGAAAAGTCACAATGGGGAAAGTCCCGAAACAGGGGGATAGGGACTGATGCTTGTTTTAATCCTTGTAAATCAATTGCACATCCAATCCTTTCAGGATTCGCTTCTGTGTCACAGAGCACTACAAAACCAATAGCGGTGGTATGAAGAAAATCGTTTAAACAAAGTACGCACGCCTGTCCCCCACCGTCACGCCTCGTGGGCACTGCCCTGTTGGCGCACATTGGCTTCACGCGAAGGGATGGGCGGACTTGCAACATCTGAAAGAAGGCACTGCAGGAGCTGCGAACGTCATGGACGCGCAAACTCAACCCATCAACGCAGCCGAAGATGGCCATTTCGGACTTCTGACGAACGTGGTGAGTTCCCGGTCCTTAGAAGTATTCTCCTGCCGTGGACTCTGGCGGACCGACCGCGGTGGCACACGGGATGCTGCCCTCGGCCAGTCACGCGGATCCGTCGTTCTGTGTGCAACTCTCCCTGCCAAACGGACAACAAATAAATCAGCCCTCCAACGACCCTGTGCTGGATATGCAACCGAGATCGATGGCGCCCGCAAGCAGGAGCTTGAACGGCTCCCGTGGACGTCTCCAACCACAGCCTGGGGGCTGTCTTGGCTTCATCCGTCCCAAGGAGTCAGGTTGCCGCCACGGCGCTACTGCTCCAAAGGGGGGACGGTTCCCCAAAACGACGGCTGGAGTCGGCAACGACGACCGAAGATCGTCGCGGCACTCGTCCAGCGCACTCGCTCCAGCGCGCTTGCGCCAACACCGCGCCGTACGCCGCCAACAACGGCGCTCTCCATCCACGCCCCCAACACCCGTCGTATTTGTGCCGGAGACCGCGCTTCGTAAGCGCATGACTACCCCCAGTTCGTCGGCACTTCCTCGCTCCCAACCCGCAGGATGGCCCCCCGCTGGCGGTGACTGTGCACCTGAGATGCCCCCCCAGAAACGAGAGGCGCACAGCCCTGGCACAGGTCTCACCTGGCCGCGCCGTCAAATTACTATCACGCGGACAAATGTCGTTCTGTGGGGGCCCTAATTGTCCAGGCGCCTCGCTGGCCTGGGCGCTTGCCGGCATCCTTCCCGCCCCCCCCCCCCCGAGCATCAGAGCCCCGGGCCGAAGGGCCCCGCGCGCTAGCCTCGCGGCGCCGCCGCAACCGCGCTTTGGGATTTTAGCGCCCGCTGGGGAGTCGCAAAGGGAGTGTTGGCGCCCGCGGGAAGCCATCGGCACAGTCCAGGTCAGACGCACTGACAGTCGAGGACGCGAGGCATGACCGGCTGGGACTGCCGCCGTGTCCGCGCGGGGCGCGCGCGGGGCGCCTGGCGCTGCTTATCCCGGCGCCGGTGATTTAGCGCGGCCGTAGATGGTGAATGGGGCGTTGAGGCGGGAGTGGGGGGCCTTCAGCGCATGGCCTGCAGCCGCGTCTGTCGGGCATTCTGATCTGAGGCGGGGTTGCCAGATTCTCACCTGAGCGGGGCCTCCGACCTCATCGCGGGTGTGGGTTGGCGCAAAGGGCTGCTCGGTCGTGTGGGAGAGCTCCGAAGGAGAGACATTGCTGGCATGGCGGCGCAATGTTGCCGATGCAGTGTGAGGGAATGGTGGCTGGCTTGGTGTCGTTGGGCCGCGCCATGACACCATGGCGTGGTCAATTTTGGCGCAGGAAGATCGACATGCGGCTTGGGTTGGATGCGAGCGCCCAGTCCCCCTGCTTCTGGCCGGGCGCTTACTGCGGGTCGGCCATGAGCGCTCGGATGTACAGGGAGCGGTGCGCGATCTCGACTCAACGAGAGCTGAACAGGTGCGCGTGCGGTTGGAGAAAGGGGAAATTGTCCGCGCAGATGTTGCGGCCATTTTGAGCCTAACCTTCACGCAAAGCCCGGCGCACCGCTGGTCTGATGGCGGCCCCTTACGTGAAAAGTGTGGAGTCTGTCCTTGTAGTGAGGACGGGATTGGCGTTTGCCTACGTGGCTCAGTTGGTTGTCGTGCTGATGGGAGGCGAAACAGCGGTGCGGCCTGCCTTGCTTCTCCTGATTGCTTGCACCGTGGGACGCAGCCTTCATGACTGACCACCTGTGCCACGGCTGCTGTGCCCTGAGGCACTTGGATGGTACTCTGATGGTACAGATCAAGATTGTCCATGGTAATAATTTTCGGATGGAGTAAAAATCATCAGCAGGATAACACCTGCAAGAGACCCATTGCTTTTCATGTGAACCATGAAAACGCCAATTAGAACGCGGATAGAATACCTTGAGACAGAGGCGCACACTGGGATGATGTGGATCGACTGCTGTTGATAGCAAGCAAATCACGGCACAAAACTTGGACATGGTAGCAATGTAACATTCTCGTTGGGGAACAGTATTCGCATCAGATTGTAAGCGTGGCTCTGCGACCATAAATTCCACATGGTGGACAATTCACTTGATGCAAAAGAAATCGCAATATAATCCTGGACAGACAGAGTAGTCTCTTCATGGTTATCATAGGGGTGAATAACGGGTTCAAAGTTGCATGGCACTGGTCTGTATTGATTCACTATTTTCCTAGGCACACAAACAACCATTGTGAGCTATGAAGGTGCCCTACAACAGCATCGACTCTGTTTCGTGCAAGTATTCTGACAATGGGGCTCAATCCAGCCCCAAACACCTCCTTCTTTTGGGTCAACATATTTTCGGTGTTGACACTATGCATGAAGAACATATCTCAAGTCTGGCTTGCACAGGGCAGTTTTGTCCATTGTGCAACATATTTTCTACTGTTAAAGAGAACTGTAGTGTATGCAAAGCCTGGATTTTAAGTCGACATAGTAATTAAGGTCTCCATGGCAGGTTAACAGCCTCACCGGAGTTCCAGGCTTGGCTTGAAGAAAAGAGCACTGGAAGATGGCTTGGGCGGCTCGCGTTGAGCTGCCTGCTGCTGGTGACTGCAGCCGGGGGTATGGGTTTTGGATTGAACAAGGATTGGTCAGCACATCTACACGCTGCTACATCTAAACCTGTGGAGCTCCTTGTAGTTCCTCAGGCGGAAGAAGGCACTGAGAAGAATGTGACAGTCAAGAATGGAAAGGTGACTGGGAGGTTACTGCAGGAGGCATTTTCAGAATCCTCATTAACATTTGTCCTACGTTTGACAGTGCATCACCCAGTAGGTAGTCAAACTCCATTGGCAGACACAATGGTTGACTGGCCAGTGAGCTGTTCACATACACAATTGCAAGAGCCACAGTCCTGTGGGCTTCTTGTTGTGTTTGTGGTTGTCGTAGTCGGTGTCCGTACTATGCATCAAGAAACAAGTTTTGCTGTGGCCAGACTGCAAACATGGATAGGTTTCCATGTATTGCTGTCTTGAGCTCAGGTGAATTGAAGATTTGTGTCTGTTTTGACAAAGCCACACCATCAAATTACTTCATCAGGGGCTGGCACAGGCGGTCGACAGTGTGACACAGGAGAACTGAAGATCTGTCCTCTCGGCAGGACTCTCTCCTCTGTGATTGGCAAGCAAGCAGCTGTGGGAGATGACTCATGTGTTTGCTCTGCTGCATCGCCCGGGCAGGGAAAAGAACAGGTGAGCATTTTTGTTGACATTGCAATAACTGATTGTACATGTAGTGCCTTCACATTGTGTTCACTTGCTGATGCCATGTTTTGTAATTCAATACTGCTTCAAACATGAAGATTTTTGATTTGGGTCCCTGGTTGCTCCGTTGGCACCACAGAACATCGCTGCCGTGACGATCACAAAATTCGACATTTATTTCACCGTAGTTTGGTTTCTTTTGTTGAGCTGGAGCGCAAGCCAAAATTTCGTTCTTACGAAGTGCTTTTGGTAGATCTTGCTGGCTCTGCCATTGTGTGCATCACCCGTTGGTTGTTAAGAGAACGTTATTTCCACAGCAGTGCGACCATGGACAGTGGCAATAAGTAGCAGTACGCTTGAGCACCTTCAGACATTTTCCTCACATCTCATAGTGGCCATGGTCCAATGTTCTTGGAATGCCAGGATTGCACACTGGCCCAGTTGGTAAATATTCTGACCCTAAAATATAGGCCCTCCCTTTGCAGGGAAATTGCAGTTGTGGGGTGTCTACCCTCGTCCTAAAGCAAGCTCCTCCCCAGCAAATGCATTCAGAGCTTACTCAGCCTTATTGAAAAGCAAGCAAGGTTCCGTGTGCGCATTGTGTTCTTTTGCTCCAATTGATCAAACAGCAACGGAGTACTAAATGGAACAGGCAAGAAATCTCTTCAGTTCTCTTTGTGGGCCTATGGCGCCAATCCAATGCTAGTCCAGCGTTCATGGAGTTCAAGTCGTCGTTTTCAATCTGGCACAGGTGTTTCAGGATGAGCACATCTTGAGAGACAATCGCAGCTTGGGGAGTGAGGGTGCCTGGGATGCTGGCAGCAGGTTTCCCGCACTGCAAACGTACCTGGAAACTGTTGCAGTCCTTGTGTTTGGTTGGCTCACGGTGTTGTTCATTGATCGCACCGAGCTTAGAGGAAATGAAGAGGGAGATGTGTCCACCCTGCTGCTTGGGAGGAGTATCAAGTGTGCCCCAGAAGTTGAACCAGATCGGCAGAAAAAGCATTTCTTGGGCCAGCAGAAGCTGGACACTGCCAAGAAAGAAAATCGTCAACTGTCTGAAGTGTGTAGCCGGCTGGCAGCTGTTGAGAGAGAGTTGGATATCCAACGAGCCAAGGCGGCAGAATTTGAAGCTGAGCGCAGAAGCTTCCTGAGGAAGATCAATCTCATGGCCAGTGAAGCTCGTGCCAAGGACAGGGAGCTGGAAAGCCTGCGGGCGAGCCTGTTGGCAGCTCAACAGGCCACAAAGCGCCAGAGAAATCGGGCCGACATGCTGGAGAGGGAAAATGCTGTTGCTCGTATGGCGGCGCAACATGCTGAAAATAGCCTGGTGAGGCATTTGGCTGACCGGTGGGATGCACAAGGAGCAGCTCAGCGATCAGGAAGGGAGGTGCAACCCGCTCTGCCAAGGCTTAAAGATGCAAAAGTTGCGAGTCCACCCAAGGATGCAAAGACGTTGGAACTTGAGGCATTGCTGGCACGATTGCAGACTAAGGCGGCCCAGCTCAGTGCTGAACTTGAGCAAAAGGATGACCAGGTAGGCATTGGGAGCATGGGAGCTCCATATTTGTGTGGCTGGCATCTAGCAGAGTTCGTGATCTGTCAGCAAGGCTTTGGCACAATGTTCTGCTATGGGAATAGTGACAGTGCAGTGGGCTGGGTCCACCCACTGGGTATTCCAGCTATTGTTGACAATGTCACGATCTGATTGAAATGTGGTTGAGGCTATAACTCCCATAAGATGCTGGAGTCCTTGCAGCATCGAAGGCTGGCTTGCAAAATCTTATCGCCACTGAAGAACAGAACTGGCCACCTGTGCACTTCAAATGTGTTTATTTGTGTTGGTCATCTGCCATTGTCTTTGTGGTGGTTCAGCACATCGCAGTGTTGAGTCACAACATGCATTGACAACGTCCAGTTGTATGTGCCCACCTTGGGCTGGCTGTGCTCTCTAACAACTGTATGGCAGAGAGAGCATGGAGAAGTTTTGTATCACCAAATTGATTGCTCAGGTCTGAGCAAGGGATGCGCAGGAAGTGTGTGCTGACTTGATAACAGTGACTTAAGCATGTTGTACAAATCTGCACTGATGGTGTCCAATAGAGGATGACAAATTTTTGCCCCTGTTGGCCAGTATTCGGTGCTGTTCACTTGCCTGGTCATGTTGCACACAGCCAGCAAACTCGTGTCTGCTCATTAGCATGCTTGCCAGCATGGAAGAGCCTTGTAACTGTTGGATAGGACAGTATTGAACATTGCATATAAAATATATACGTAAGTGTGCTTGTCGTAGTCTCCCAGTTGGTTCTATAACACACAACTGGAGCCCAGGATGCAGATGAGCCACACTGTACTTTGAAATTCGCAGCCGTAGTCTACAACACCATGGTCAAGGAATTCTGGTGTTTCTGTGACTGTTTCTTGTGAGTGTTCCTGCATTGAGTGTGCAAGGGTAACGCTTTGTTAACTTTGACAGATTCAATCAAGGGTATCATAGACATGTCTGCAACTTTGCCAATATGCCACCAGTGCTGCCTGCATGGTATCAGTCACAGCAACAAATCCCAAAATTGGTCTCATGCTCAGTCTGACTGTTTGTTGACTACCTCCCAACGTGTGTTCTGCACCAGCTCTCATCAATGGACGCATGGCGTCGAGCCAGACTGAAAGCTGACACCAAACAAGAACAGGCTGCCAAAGACACTGACCTACCGTCGACCTCAACAGGCCTTGCACCAATGGCCACCAGTGGCATCCGCTGTGAGGGAGGCTACAGTGGCGCGGCCTCCCTTGCACAATGGGTGTCTTCACCAAGAACGCCACAACTCAGAGATCGAAGGTGCTGCCAGCCCCAAAAGACATCTCCAGCAAACACTGTGATCCCGCCCTGTGCACATACACAAGTACCCTGGAACCCAATTGCTGTGAGGTTCTGGAATCCTATGACCCTAGCACTACAAAGCCAAACCCTAAATTGTGGCATCCTCTTAGCTCGGCATAGCATCTAAGCATTCAATGCGTGCCGTGCTTTGGGGCCTAAGCGAGGGGCTTTGCCAATACTCAGAGGCAGCTTGGCAGGCGCATTTGAAATGCTGCGTTTGTGGTGAATAAGTACTGCACCTGATCAGTGGACTATGCATTGTATTGCAAGTATTGCATACATGGATGAATGTGCTCCAGCAAGGGAGTCTTGATAATGCCTCCTTAGGGAGCTATGAGCAAGGTTGCTCGCAACCATTGGCGCTGACTCTGCTGCCAATATGCTGCTGGCATCTCTTCATTCAATTGCAGAAATTGCTATGTTGGTGCAGAAGGGGAACAATGCCAAGGGCATTGTCTGCTATGCAGGGAGAGGGGACGAGCACCTCGGTGATTGCAGTGGAAGGCAGCTTAGATGCATTTTTTCAGGGTGGTTGCCTGGATGGAACCTCAGGTCATGCTGGAACCAGAGGTTGACAAGGCTGAGCAGCTGGTACAGGTTGGCCTCGAAACAATGGGGGCAAAACCCATAGGCTGCCCAGGGATTGCACTGGGTGGCAGCACCAACGGATTCTGGTTTGCAATTCGAAGAGGCCTTCCTTGCCCCTGAATTGGCAGCGTTGCTGCTACAGGTGCAAAGTCAGTGCGGCGGTAGCAGGGCACCTGTCCACACTATTGCTGCCGCTTCTGCTGCAATTTTCAGCAGCCTCTGGGAGCCGTGAGCTGATCGCTTGGGGTTGCTTCAAGGGGCTGGTCAGTCCGCAGTTCGCATCTTTGGGGCCAGCGAATTGTGGCGACTCGCCTTTGCTGTGTGTTGTACGTGGCTGTGCCAATGTGCCAGGGGAAGTGGCGCCGACGCCGATGCATCGGGGCAGCATTGGTCAGGGGGCCATGCAAATAGAAGGGAATGACGCGTCGAAGATAGAGGCGCAATACATGTTGTGATTCTCGTTCTGTGTTGATGTTCCTGCAGCTGAGCCTGGGGCGCTGGTTCCCTTGTATAAGGGGGTTCGTTCACTTGGAAGGACAAGGAGGTGGTATTAAGTTATAGAGGATTTGGATATTCTGTGCATCGCACAGGACAATGCTGAATTTTCTTTTGAAGGGTATCTGATCCCGTGCCTGTCATTTGTGGCGGGGCCTTTTTTTGCCCTTACCATGTTTGTCCACCGTCGGTACGGCGAATTTGCTAAAATAGGAAAGTGCCCACATTTTCCGTGTGTTGGGACTAAATGACGTATAAAGGACGACAAGCCCTTCACCATCTACATTCTCAACAACATGGCAATTCATGCAGTCAGCTTCCCTGTCTGCCCAATCCATGGCGCTCTCGCCCACCGCTTCTTGCGACAGTGGCAATGTCATCGAACAACCTGTCATCCTTAGCCCACGCGAAAGCGCCAGGGTGCCACGTGCCTGCCGTCTACATGCGCTTGAGTTGGACCATGACGGCATCTTTCCTTCGGCAGAAGTTTGCCTCGAGCTTGGATTTGGAATTTGGTCAGCCGTAGGCGGGCCACTTGGCGCTCATTGGTGCCAATTGCGATCTGGTGGAACAACAACCCCGCACGGCCGCCTCCTTAGCACGAGCAGATCTGCGAAGTGCAACTTTCCGAAATCCGCACCTTCTAGAAAAAGTCTTTTCCTCCGTTAAAGCCACCTCCCACCAAAAGATATTTCTCCTCATGATTCCAACCGCTCCTTACCGCATCCAACACGTCCCTTGGAGGGCGCTGCGCCCGCAATATCTAGAGGCACCTGTTCTCTCTGCAAGGGGCCTCCTGGTGCTGCCATCCTTTTCTGATTAAATCTCGGAAAACATGACCTTAATGACCTTCATGTCTACAAATGAGGGGTATTGGACATTTGTGATGTAATGCACTGTGTGGGCCCCTGGTTCCGTTCTCACGCAACTCGAGGGCGCGCACCCAGTCGAGCCACTGCGCGGGCACCAGACCACCACAACACTCGCATTCACGGTCGCTCCATTGCACGGAAAGCCAAGCCGCAACCAGATGCACTACAGGATGAGCAGACTAGCCAAGTAGCATTCAATTTAAACACACCCATTCGTGTCTCGATTGTACCCAAACACATTTCAACATAGTTTAGCACCGCATTCACCATAAAAAGCATCACATATCACATAAACTCTTGTTAACTTCTTTCTTGTCCTCGCATTCAGAACGGCAGCTCAGGCATCTGAAAGGCGCATCCGCATCAGTTTCGAGACCCGCGCCTTGCCCATCACAACGCAGGGCCTGGGTGAGCGTTTGGTCATGGATTCGGACGATCAAAGACAATGACATCACCAAATTAAGGTCGGGAGTGGAGTCGACAACAGCCAGTCGTGCGGATTGGCACCCGGTCTGGAGGTTTTGATGGGTAGGGGCAGCGCTGATCCCATCCTCCTATTGGCGCTCGCCAGATGCTTCAGGAGGCTGACAGCGGTGTGAAGACGCATGGCGCATGGGTTGCTGTGCAAGGCGACGGTGGGCAAGCCATGATTGTGGCCGATCGGCCGCAATGAGGGCTTGCAGAGGTGAGAATCAGCGAAACCTCCTTCAGGGAATGCAGACAATGATTGCCAATCACTGATTGGTGGATCAATCAGCCATAAGGGCAGCTGAGATGGCGACATGCTGGCCAGGGTGGCCAAGACGATGCCCGTGACGACTGAGAGACACATGCCGATGAATAGATTGTGCATCGTGAGATTCAGGCAGGCGATTGAACTGCGATCTGTGTTCCCTTTGAAGCGGAGGCGATGTTAAGGTAGGACTCAGAAGCTATCAAAGGACTGCCTAATATTGCTTGATTCAAGTTCACGGTAATGAAATGATGGTGGAAATCTCCGAAGAGATCTGCAACGGTGTGCGGAAACCTAATTAAGTGGAAGCGAGATGCGGATTGTTGTTACCTGGTGGGTTTGAGAAACAAAATATATGCGGGTAAAGCGTGATTATTGGTGCAGTGTTCTATGGAAAATAGAGAAAAATGGTTGAACGACACATGTAAGCTCCAGGGCATTATGCGCACATTACAAATGGCGTTTATGACACTTCAGAGAGTCGGCGTACGTTTTGATTGATATGTAAAGACGAATCGTGGTGCTATCCGCGGAAATCAAGGTACATCTGTACAGCGCGCGACGCGAGGTGGCAACGCTATGGAAATTGGCAGCATGTTGGGGGTGAAGGATGAACGTTGATCGAGGGAACTTCAAGGCCGTTGCCGTAGAATGTCTTTGTGGATCGATGTGCTTCATTCTGTCCAAAGGGAACTAATGTACGTTTGGTGCCCTTCTGAGCCGATCGGTTCACGAGGAAGCCGGGAATTTTCCTACGGGGACTTGCATCCGCATAATCTGCCGTCCAAAGAGATTCAGAGGGGCGTGCGGTCCCAGGCGATGCGCGCCAGCCTGTTGGCAACAGAACGCTGGGCGTGAGCGATTTTCCGCATGGGGCCTGAACAGGCTCCAAGCACGTCACATCCCCGTGACGGGGACTTCCACTTTCCTCAGTGAAGATTGATTGTCGGCGTTGGCACGCCCAAAGGGCATACTCGGCTTGTGCACGCCGTCGCGCGGCGCTGCATGAGTCTGCCACTGCGCCGGCTGTCACTATGGCAACACCGTTTTTGCGATGCGAGGTCCCATGCCATTTTGACACGAAGCGGCGCCACCACAGTGGCTGCGATGGCATAAACGCAGCTGCGATGGCACCAACTAATGCAAATGGCACTTCATTTGGCATCACAAGGTTGCCGTTTCGAAATTACACAACAGCGGGAATTCCCAATGGTGTGTGCCGCACTCCGTTCTGCGGTCTGTTCGCTGCACTTGGCATCGTTAGAGGCGCACTGTCGGCTGTCGATCGAAGGCAGGAGACCAAGGTTTCGATCGCTCTGCGAGCCCGCAAGCTAGGGCAAGGTGCTGGAGGGCGGGGCAGCGGCCGCGAAAAACTGAGTCACGAAGGAGTGCGCGGATTGGGAACTAGTGCCCCAGGAGGCGAGCCGTCACTGGCGAGAAGTGGGAAGCGAGATGGAGCGGCAGCAGCCGGCGCGTGGCCGCGGCTGCGGCAGAAAATGGCGACATGCGTGCTCGGCCGCTGAGAGTCACAACTTCAAAGACGGCGGCGATTTCAGTTGCGAATACTTGATGTAAGGAGTTCTTGACGAAGTGCTGGACGATTCCAGGGCGGAGGAGGCGATATCGGGCCGGATTGTGCGTGGGAGCAGAGGAGCGTGCGTGAAGACTGCGGAAGCGACGACGAGGAAAACGTTGGAAATTGAGGCACCCGCTGCAAAATTTGGGCGCTTTCAGAGTTTAGCATGTGATGGTGTGCAAGGACGCGTCGGCCGCAGGAATCTGAGTTAGAAAAGGGGGTGGCATCAAAGCCTGCAGTCGGCAATTGGCAATTGCTGCGTGACCTGGTGCTGTGGTTCCCATCAGGCTTGGTTTTTACGCCGTAAAAACTGATAGTATTTACGTTTTTACGCGTAAAAATGCGTAAAATACGTAAATACAACGTAAAAACTGCCCGGTGTACATAAGGACAGTACACGCAGACTTACGGAGTCCGGAGAGTGGTAGCCAGACGCCCTGGAAGGGGCACAAAACGAGTTTTTGTTAAACACCATCATCGCCCTTGCCAAAGGCGAGGTGGACATTGCGTTGTGGGTGCTGGATATAGCGGAGGACTGATCATTGTACACAAGTTTTTTGGTGTAATCCGAGCGTCTCAGGGAGCCGTAAAAACGTAAAAATAGCCGTAAGAATAGGCCCTTTTGCAAATTTACGTTTTTATGCGTAAAAACGTAAAGGTAAAAACGTAAACGGAAACGTAAAAACCAAGCCTGGTTCCCATTGCACAAAATTGGCAGAACTGGTCGATAGTTCTATCGACCAGTCTGGGCAACCACTTGTGGCTGCCCAGCGTCATTAACTTTGTGCATGCGCAATGTAGCCCTGACTCTCTAGTTGTATCAGCCGTCGCAGCGGGAGCCATTCAAAACTAAAATTAGCATTACGGCAAGATATGTGTACCCCTCAGTACATTTGTTAGCAATCCGACCAATCAGTGGCAAGCCTGCATGCACTGGGAGGCCTTTGATTCCCAAATCATTGGAGGAAATTGGTGTGCATGTGAGCCCGCCAAGACCCCAATGGCCATATTCACATGTGTGAGCATACACTGTCAGGAATCTTAACTTTGGGAATGCATTCTCAGGGTTTTTGGGAATGCATTCGCATCTGCATGCGCTGTGAACAAGCAATGTGCATGGGATCCAGCCCGACATCGCTTTCAAGGTGCAAGGGCGCCGTTCCGACACGTCCCGTCGACATTGTCCACCTCGACGTATGTCAAATGCAATCAAAGCATTCAGGCCACATCCTCAAGGAGGCGCCGAGGGCCGCGCTCCCTCGAGCTCCTCGGGTCCGAACTGGCCGCGAAGGCGAGGACGTTGACCGGGAGAGGGGCTGCCGACCACCGCCCTTGAGAGGGTCCCTGTCACTGGTGCCGCTGTTCCCCGTGTGCATGTTGTGCCACCTTCCACCCCCCGTCAGAACAGCCCACCCAAGCCGTGCGCGTGGCCGTTGTACAACACTCTCCTTCCCCGTGTGTCCGCAGATGCCACGCGCGCCATCGTGTCTCCACGCTGGCCGCAGGTCCCGCGCCAGGATCTGCATCTTCCCATTATCGAATTCCCCATGACACCCCAAGGGTCCCAGGGCTGTCAACCAGATTTGCCCACACGTCGGAGCCATCAGCCGTGAGTACATCGGTACTGCGGGCACCGTCAACGCGCCCAGCGCCCGCTTACATCATTATTGCCCATGTTGGGTCGCGTCCACACCGTTGGCCCGTCGGCCGTTTGGCACCCGCGCAGGGACCGGAGGCGGAGGGAGGCGCGCCATGCTGCCCGTGCCCAAGCGGGACAAGTCGGGCAAGGGCGCCAAGGGCGGCGCCACGGGTTTTGCCTTCAAGAGCCTGTACGGCGCGCCGGGCACCAAGCCCCGGGAGCCCGCCTTCGATGGTGCGCCGACGCCCCCGGCCCATGCTGCTATACCAAACCCCTTCCCGGCCGACCCCATCTCTCCAGAACTCACTTGATCCGGCCCTCGTATTCACCGTCAGGGCCAGAAGCCGCTGGGTTGCTTTTTCTGACTGGATGCGCGTGCTGTCCGCGGCTCAGGGTTGGGCCTCGCCGGTCGCATGTCTCTGGGCCACAAGTCGGCCCAGTCGGCGGCCCCCGCGCCCCACCCGCCGCCCGTGCTGGGCGAGAAGAGCTTCTCCCACCACCGCAGCCACCACGGCGCTGTGGTGGCCAAGGCGCTGAGCGTGAACAGCGTGCAGCCGACGTCCCCGCCGGGCAAGAGGCAGGCCTGCGGCGCCGTGACGCGGGGCAGCGCGGACGACCTGGCATTCGCGCTGGCCGGCATCGACGGCAAGGCCTACAAGGCGTACGAGGAGCTGCGCGGCTGCTGGGAGTTCAAGAACTTCAGGCTGTTCGTGGACCACGTGCAGGCGTACCCGCATGGCCCGCCCTCGAGGTGCAGGGTGCAGGTGCGTGCTTCAGCTCACGCCGGCATGCCGACATGCCGCATTCATCGGGCTCGTGGCACGGCCGGCGTTGGGATTGCCGTTCAAAGGTTGTGTTGATTCGCTGCGCTGATGATCGCGATGGCATTTCTGTGGGCGCAGGTGGCGCAATCGTTGGCTTCGATCCCGTCGTGGCTGCTGGCCAACGGCGTGCGGCGCGCGGCGCTGTGCGACTACCTGACGCGGCGGCTCAGGGAGGTGGTGGAGGCGACGGGCGGCAACGTGAAGGAGGGCCACGGCGGGCCGGCGGGCGACAGGGGCGGGGAGATTCTCGTGGACGTCCCGGGACAGAACGTGAGGCCCATCGCCGCGCCACCGCTCCTCGAGACGCGCCCACGGCACGCTGCTGGTGCTTAACATCCGTAAATTGGTGCATAAAGCGTAAATCGAAGGGCGTGGGGCGGGCTGGAGTCTCTGGGACGATCTTCCACCCCCCAGTGGCGCGCACGACGGAAGGATGTATTGGGGGCAATGACGTCGGCAGCGCATTTGGGGATGATCGCTCGGGCGCGGTAGCCCTGCTGTCCGATTGTCTGCGCGAGCGACGCACGCGCGGCGGGGGTGGTGGCCGCTGTGTGCGGGATGCTGTCCCGGCCGAGTCGGACGGGTGCGGAAGTACACGGGGGCAAATGGGGCATCGGACGGCAGGGCGCCCGTTCGCAGCCGAGGTTGGCCTCCCAAGGACGTCTCCCGGGCTGCGCTCGCGTGCCCAGAGAAGTGCGGTGTCCAGGCGCGTACCGGGCATGTACGCCGAGACGGCGCATCGGGCCCCAAGCCGGGAAACCTGAATGGTACCCCCAGGCGGAGCGTGCCCCTTTGCGTTGTTTGTCGACGGGCGCCTTCGAGCTGCCCAAGGCGCGGGATGGTGCATCGAGTTGCCATTTGAGGCGAGTCGAGAGCGGTGGGTGGGCAGCTGCTGACCCTTGGGCTGTCGCAGGTGGTCGAGCGGACGTCCGTGGTCGTGAACTCCTCCCACGTGGAGGCGCGGTTCTCGGTGGGGCTGCCCGCGCAGGCGGGCGCGGTCGTGGCCGAATGGACCACTCGGGCGCTGACGAAGAACCTCGCGGTCCACGTGGAGCGCGCCCTGTTCTTCAACCACCAGGTGCGCCCTGGTTGTGGTCAAGGCGGGAGATGAAGACCGTCTTCTCAACTGGACGAAAGCGCGATAAACCATAGGCAATAGCCTTTGTGTGGAGTTGTCTTCGAAAGATAGAGCGGTGCCCCCTTGCACCATGCGGGCGATAAGGGGCGTGCATACGGCCAAGAAGATTCCTGATCGCTTCACAGTGATTGTTAATGCATGGTCGAACAGAAGAGTGTGTCGTGAGTGTGTTGTTGAACAGAAAATGACCCAGCCCTTCCATCAAAGGCCGCGATGATGAGCACATAGCACAATTCCAATGGTTTGTTCCCTTCTAGCCATTCTTTAGTCTTTCCAAATTAGCCTTCATCCTGAATGGGTACATTTGCCAGTATGCTACATCCCTGCAGCCTCCCTTGTCTGGAGACGCCTGGCATGCAACATTGTCGTTCCATGTGGTTTGTGTTTTCCATTGAATAAAGTTTTCGAACGCAGAAAATAGTACAGTTGTGCTCCTTATCAGGATGCAAGCGCTGTCCAGCGGCATGTGGAGACAGTTGAGGATGCAGCTGCCCTGCGGTCCCAGCTCGATCAGATGGGACTTGTGGCATTCGTCGCAAACGGCTCGATCCTGCCAAGGAGATCTGGGGCATCAGATAAGCCGATGGATGCCCAGGACGCTGTGAGATTTGTGTCACCTCCCTCTTTGGAGGTCACCATGAATGCCCCCCACAAGGGGAAGGTGAAGGGTATGGGCATCAAGAAGGGGGTGACAGTCATCGTTGGGGGTGGCTTCAATGGAAAGACAACATTGTTGAAGGCCATCGAAATGGGCGTATACAACAAGGTGACTTTGAGTAAAATGGACAATGTGCCATCACTTGTGCACTACTTTATTAGAATTTTTTAAATTCTTGTGCGCATGTTTCATCTGGAAGCATGACCTGACCACATCGCAGGCTGTTACTGGGCTGTTCTTGCTGCTGTCTGGACCTACTGGGCGCTCGTGGACTCGGCCTGTGTACATAGTCTGCAGGACGTCAGTAGGGGATCCCAAACTGCATGGTTAGGATGTCTGTTCTTGAGCTTAGCGCATTGATGTGGCATACATTTTGGGGTTTTGTCGCAGATAGGGGACATGTCATACAGTGGGCACTCTGGAACAAGAAAGTTTGTGCGAGACTCGTTTCTATACTGCATGAATAAGTTGCGGAAATCTCTGAGAGCAACAGAAAACACATGAGGCAGGCATTCTGCCATCATCATGGGTGCTGAGAGGCATTCCTTAAGCTCCATTTGCTAATTTAGCCTTAGTCATATTTGCTTGTGTTTCAAATTCGTTCAAGAGTTTGCATCCCTTTCACGCCATGCTATTGCCTATTTGTGTGCCCCTTGAAATTAGCATATACTTGCTCCGTCACATATTAAATGTCCTCTATGACTTTGGTGCACTACTTCCCCATCGCAAGTAATTCATAATTTAATGGAAATTTGTCCATAACTGTTTTATGAGTTTGAAGTATGCAGTCGAGAATTCAAGCCAATCTGTTGAGAATGGCGGATTTGGCATCACTTTGTAGCAAAGATGCACCCCCCGAAACCATTCATTTTTCAACGATCTTGTGGAAGCGAACGTTCAAAGTAAGAACTATATTCCTTAATCAGATTTCGCCCACAGCTGAGCTTATGAGTTTGGAGTGTGCTGTTCAAAAATCAAGTTAATGGGTTGAGAATTGTGGATTTGGAATCAGTTTGCAGCAAGCATCTTTAACTAAGCAAATCTCGAGTTGTTGCTCAGAAATGACCAAAATTTACCTTTGCCCAATGCTCAAAGTGACCAGATCTCACTTTTTCTTCTTGAAAATTGGTAGTTAAGCGTTTTGATACCGAATTTTGTTGATTATGACCTACTTTTGTAATTTTAAGGGAGCTATTGCAACGAATTTTGTCTTTCAAGTAGAGGACATTTAATATGGGGCGGAGCAAGTAGTTAATTTTAGCTTCAACATTTCAACATTAGCTTAGAGTAGCTTCACCAAGATGTCCTGCAGTGAACTTGCCAGTGGTGTCCTACCTAGTTCCGAACATCAGCCAGAAACATGGACGAGGAGAAGTTTCTGTGCACAGTACAGTGCCACTCATCTTAGCTCCTTGCCGGTTCAGGTGCCTGGTGATGGCAGGGAGTTGATTGTCACTGACGCTGGTGCCGTCAAGATTCGTGCCGAGGAGGGAAGGAGAGTGCAAGCTGTGGACATCTCACCCTACGTTTCGAAGCTGCCACAAGGCGAGGACACGACGAACTTCAAGACAGAGGACGCAAGTGGCAGCATCTCTCAATCTGCAAACATACAGGTGAGGGAATATTGGGGATCTTCGCTTCAGTTTGGTGATGATGCAATAGAAGGTGTTGGGTTTGAAAGAGTGAACTGCACTTTGATGAAGTGTGCCACATGTTGGACAAGACGTTGTTCCCAAGCACTTTTAGTGCAGTGACAGGCAATATTAACTGTTGTGGTTCCAGAAGTGCTCCTTGACACCACTGGCACGTCAAACCGTCCCAAAGTACATTGGACTCGTACAAAATGCAGAAAATGGAAGAAACTTCAATCAATTACTGAAATCAGTGGGAACAAGGGCTGTCGTTATCAATTGTCAATCAGAGTGCTGCAGTGCCTCAGTCATTGGATAGAATCAGGGAAGCAGCTGTTTGCTGCATTCCATGAGCGGCGCAGACAGGAGTATTGCCATTATTGTGGTTGATGGGGAAGAATAGACGAGCATTTCTATTGTAGTGCCAAGGGCAAGGAAACTATCTCGTACAGTGCGTTTAGGTGGCCACTGTGGCATCAAAGGTGGAGGTGATGCTGCTGACCACATCCTCGATTGCGTACTGATCCATGTGTGTACAACCATTCATTATTCCTGCAGGAAGCATATGAAGCTGGAGCCTCAGTGTTGTTGCTGGATGAGGACACATGCGCCACAAATTTCATGATTCGAGATGAGCGCATGCAGGCCCTCATTTCGAAAGACAAGGAGCCGATCACGCCATTCATTGCAAGAATAAGGCAAGTTTGCCAAATGAGGCAAGGCACCTCTATGAGGACTCAGCAGATTTTTGTGACTGCTGCCATTCCTTCTGTCAAGTGTGGTGGCAAAGAAAACAATGATGTGTTGCCTTCCACATTCAAGGAGATGATTAGCAGTATCCTCCATGCTCATGGATGGAAATACGATGCAGCAGTGCCATGTGGCATTGATGCTAGCATTCTGGTGCCTACCTTACCGGTTGGATGGACAAGACAACTGAACAGCCACATGATTGGGTCGGGGGGGGCAGTGGTTCACAGGAAAATATCTACTTCAAAGCACAAATGTACACATGCATACAAATGGTTCCTCTGTCCCATATTAAATGCCCTCTATTTGGAAGACGAAATTCGTCACAAGTACGGCCAAAAAATTGCAAGAAAAGATGAGAATCGGAAAATTTGTGTCCCAAAGCCCTACCGTTGGACGATAAGAAAATTTGGTCCTTTCTGAGTGAAAAGCTCGACATTACTAGGCAGAGCACCGTTGCCACAAATCTCTGCCAAATCCACAATACTCAACTGAATATCATGATGCTTTGATCGCATACTCCAAACTCACAAACACAGCTTTGGACGAAATTGCATTGAAGAAGGAAGCGTCTTTGGTGGGGAAACGATGCGCTAAAATAGAGAGGACGTTTAATATGGGACTGAGAAAGCATTCGACTTCCATCAAAAGTCCATCCAGCCACGGAGTCTCAGTGTCCATTCTTAGGTCTCAAGAGCACTCCTGTGTAACATGTGGCAGTGGCTGATCGAAATTGTGCCTGTCATGTAGCTGTTGCTGCTATGCCCTCTGTGGTGGCATTGTTGAGTGGCTGACAGCTGTGTAGCAGGGCTGATAGCTGTGTAGTGTGTGGGGCATTCACCAGGACTCTGGCGAATAACAAATTGTCTACAATTTTGGTGACGGGTGGCTCTGGAGAGTATTTCAACGTGGCAGATCGGGTAATCTGCATGGAATCCTACTGTCCCAAGGATGTGACAGAGGATGTAAAGCGTATCAATCAACTGTTTGGCGAGTCAGCGGTTTTGAAGAAGTGGGGCTCAAGGGCCTACCCTAGTGTCGTTCCAAGGGGCATTTTGCCAACATCATACTACAACGGTACGGAGCACCATTGTGCTGTGGACGCCAGCGTGGGCAAAGTTGGTTTTGCTTAATGTGCAGTCGCATGTGCCGTATTGTTACCTGTCGAGATTTTATGCGAGGGTTGTGTTTCAATAGCAGTTTCAGTTCTTTATTGTGTTTAGCACATTATTTGCTGTTCTAGAAATATGTGGTGCTGTTTCCATACCAGGATTCAGAAGTGACAATAACGTGACCACATTGACTGCGTTCACGAGGAGTGTGTGCGCACAGTCAGTTAGTCAGTTGGTTTGTTGACATTCCCACCCGGTCGGCCACCGTCTGTGCCTGGACTGTGCCATCAACGAATGTGCTGTGCTTGGGCTGTTGTGCGGCTTTCTGACAAACAGATGTTCCTGTGTCATGCCTTTGCAGAGCCGAAGACCAGTGTCCGCGGTCGTGGCTTGGTCCATTTTGGAGAGGAGAGCCTTGATTTGAGCGCTGTGGAGCAATTGGTGGAAGTGTCCCAGACAAGGGCGATCGCTGAGGCCGTGCACTACGTCCAGAGTGGTGCAACCCAGCATGGGCCCTTCAACAGGAGGTCTCTCAGCTACATTCTGGATCACATCGAGCAGGATATTGACCGCCAGGTGCGAAACCCTTCTTTGGAGGCGCATGGTGCAGCTGACATGATGGGGGTGGCTGGGCGCTTGTCGGTTTGGTTGCTGCTGCTCTGACCGCGTTGAAGGTGCTTGCAACGCACGCGAGGAGGGTGTTTGACATTTGATGCCAAACGGCCTTGGCACCAATGGGCACTCCAGAAGCACATTATCGTAGCATGGTGAAACAATTCGCAAAGTCGATGATGCCTGCGTCACATATATGTGGACATTGTATGGCATTTGATTCAGCGACATCGTTGGGCCTTTGCGTGAACTTGCCCGCTATCCGTGTTGTCTATTGCATGTCACGCTGTTAGCTGCCAATGCATGTTCCCTGGACAGTGGTGTTGTCTGTTGATTGCAAAGTCCCAGGTCACTGGGAAAAGGAAATGGCGATTGCTGGAGTAATGAATCCTGCAATTCGGTAGCACAACGGGTGCTTGAGTGCACAACTTCATCGCCATGACAGTGTACACTGACCAATTCAGTCCCATTCCTACCCCAGGGGCTCGACGTGCTCAACCCACACATGAAGCTTGGCAATCTGGCGCGGCCACGCCGATTCGAAATTGCGGCTGCCATCAACCGCCTGCGAAGCATAAGGCTAGCGCAAATAACACAAGAGAGGTGACTGAAACACAGTTCTCCCTCTTGGCGAGCTGCCACTTTGTTGGCGATGTTCAACCGAAGTGCTTAGGTCCGGAGCCTGCGGGCATTTTTGTCGAGCTGGCTGCTTGTTCCTGTGGCAAGATGTCTGAGCCGGACAGGCAAATAATTGCCGCCTAGAACGGCGTGTGAGTGCACGCTGGGTGGCGGGTGTATTGGGCAGGTGGATTTTCAAGGTCAAGAATGGATGGGGACTTGATGCTTGACCGTGGGCCTTACAACAAATGACGGAAACTGCGTATTGGAACAAGATTGTTGTGTGTAGATTAGCGGTTGAAATGGACATGGTGCGAGCAGTCGCAGATTTTGTCTGGAGGCATAACATTGACAGCGATTCGAGCCGGTTGATTCCAACGACTGAATATAAGAAGCCTGCGCGTGCTGGCATCGGCATAACGGGACGATCAGGGCATATGTTCGGTTTTGCATGTACGGACCGGCCCTCTTCTGAAGCGACCTGTGGTTATGTATGTCACGAAGTTTATTTCGTCGCAAGGACGTTTGTGACTGCTTGTGTATGGTTACCTGGATGAGGGAGAAGGCAAGGTAGCATAAATGTTGTGATGTTGTAAGGACGGTATCTCTCCCGTGCACAATCCCCAGCCCACTGCGGGCGCCTGGCCACCATGTCTCACAGAGCTGCGGCAGGCCGTGGGAGCTCAGTGACAGGTCAACGCCCATTGGTCATTCTTGTCTGGGCATATTCCACCTCGACCACACCAAAGAGCGCATGTCTTGTGTGTAATCTTCTTTTCCACAACACTTTTAAGGGAAGGCACTATTTTGATTTTGGTAGGTTTAACGTCAAATTGACCCGGGGGGGAAGCCATTGAGGCTAAGAGATTATGTAATTGCACTGAAAACAAAGCAAGGTGGTAAAATGCACAAAAACGCCGCTGACCAACAGCAAATAGCTCATAACTTGTTCCAAAACCTCCCTCAAACGTTTAATCACCCAGGCAGTCCTTAGAATGCTGGATCAATTTCAGGCTTCTAGGTTGCAATCGTCGCTTAATATTGCTTTTGGCATCCCATTTTTCAAATCACCGCCATCGCTACAATTTTGGCTGGCTTGTAGTGTTTTCCCTAAGGATTTGATGGCCGCGCCAGACTTGTGCTGCACATGGTTCTTTCGCAATTGTCAACGAGGCACAGAGGCGCAAATCGCACCTGTGCCGGCAGCACGGGATGGTATGAAACGTGGCCGATGTTGAACGGTACGACCGAGGACAGAGATGCAGAGTACCAGCTCGCGTTTATGCCGACGACACACCCAGGACAGCATCCATGAAAGCTTTCGAGCCCCTGATCATGTGTTACGACTGCTTTCCAATTTTCCTATGGCACACTCAGCCACCCCAGCGCCAACCAGGAATCCCAACGTAACATCTACCCCCCACATTCTTTCATCAGTTCCCCACTTCTGTGTTCTCCTCAATTTGCAGTCCTCGACCCTTTTTTCAGCAATCGATGTAGCCGTGTGTTAGCATCCAAATGTTCTTAATGCGAACACCGCATGGGAACCTCCATGCATCAAAACAGAAATCCAGTACCTTTCAATGCATGGGCGCTTCTTGCAACTTCGATTGCCACCGTGGGGATGTTTGGGCCATCCCACGCAGCATCTAAGGCAACAGCTGTCTCACCATCCCATGCACCAGGCCATTCATAGCCAAGTACCATCTCGGAACAGATGGGTTAAGCGTGCCTCGATGTGATGGGTTCAACAGTATTTGTTAAATAGCATGAATTAGATGTATGCATTGCGCGCAACCTCAAATCGGGCGGCGGTCCGCAGTTAGGCTTGGAACTCAATCAGTTCGCCCAGAGGGGTTCGCGGAACATGGCCGCCTTAATGTACACCCCCGCTGCATTCGTGCACACACAAGCCACACTCTGTCTTGTGGAATGCAGACTCTCTTAACCTTGTCATCCATTGATTCTCCACATGCAGCGACAGTGGCCTTCAATTCAAGGAATCGAATGGGCGTCACGTTTGTTGTCTTGCCATATGGTGATCCCATACTGTCAACCAGCCAAATACTGCCGTGACTTCACGCCCACTGTCTCAGGCCTTGGCCAAGCCCGGCTATGGCATGACAGTGCGCAGGGCTGGAATGCCGCTATATTTACTCTCCTCGGCTACCAGACACCTGTGGGTACCGCCAGTGCATCACCCCAAATATGAACTGTGGGCGCATCCTACAGATCCCAGGTGTCCCATTCCTATTCTCTCTCCCCCCTCCCTCCCCCCCCCACCCACACCCACTCACGTCCCACCAAACCCACCACACTCACCCCGCACCGTTCCGGCCCTCATGTGCCAGGCAGATTATCTCTCAACGCCTTGAGCAGAAAACCCTCCTGACCACGCTCGTCCAAATGCTCCCAGGCAAAGAAGGGAACAGAAACAACCTGCACAAAGCAAGAAACCTCACATCAGCAAACATGGTATCAGCAGAGCAGAGGCGAATGGGGAGGGCTGCTTGTTGTTTGGTTAAACTCCAATGGCTGGAGATCCCAAAGCACGATCGTCCACGTAAGGTGGGACAACACTACACAGGCCTGCCTGTCCCTTGGCGCACTACTGACAGTTCTCAAGCCCGCATGGAAGAGCATCAACGGCACAATCAATCAGACGTGCATAAAGTGAGAACGTTGGAGGGCATCTCTGCCGTTGATAACCATTCTTCTTGTTGCAACAGTAACATCAGCTGTGCTGCACCTGCTTCACCAAATCCAAACGAGGTCCAAACAGGACAATTGCAACATGTGCCCCAACACTTGGGGACTTGACATCCCAACCCAACATTGTTCCTGCTACCAACATATGGTTGGCGACCGATCCACACCCAGCTTTATTATGCTATGGTAAGGAAGCGCGGAATCTACAAAGCACCAGTCAAACCCAGATCAGCAACTTTCTTGCATCCCTGTGTTGATTAACTTTGCTCCCAGGCAACTGTTGTAAATTCCCATATGATTGCCTTGCAATTTAAGGCCAGATACGTTCTTCAGTGCACTGGCCACACCCAAAACCGCCTTCGAAATATTGAATGCTGTCCACGGGCATAAACCTCTCAATAGGCATTCAGGCAGATTTGCTACTTGTATAAAGTATTTCAACATACGCCAGCAGCTTAGCCCAGCATTTCGAAAAGCCAACAGTTCACAGACCCAGAATATTCAGCAAGGGCACGCAGCTGGGTTTACCGATTCTTGGAGGTCCATGCGTCGTTTGCATGCGCTCAAACTTACCTTCCAACCTTGTAACACAAGGAGGCGATTTCTCAGAACTGTGCTTCCCAGCAGTCTGTATTGACCGGCAGGCTTGTTGCAGGTGAAGTGCACAGAGCCATCAGCCTCGACTACGGTCCTTTCATCCAACAATGCGGCATCCGCGACGAAGTATGCCTCCTTAAGCAGCACGTTTGGTGCATGGCTGATGCCTAACCTGTTTAATGTCTGAAGTACTTCGTTCTGCAGCTCAGAGGGGACGGACTGGGAGGATATGTGCTGCAGGTAGCCCTCTCCAGCTCTTAACAGCAGTGCAGACACCTCTGAACTCTGCAACGCAGTGTCCTGGTCTTCCAAACTGCTGCCTTCATGCTCCACAGCATGCAATCTCACGCACTGGTGACCCAGGAAGAGTTGATTCAAGTCCTCACTCGCCAGTGTGTGGCCACGTTTCTCCAACTGCACCACGCGCTCACACAATTGCAAGAACGTCCTTGCATGCAGGCGGCCCACAACTGCCATGTACCATACCGTCGTTGCAAGTGCCTGCGGGTCACAGAACTCGGACAGGTTCGTTGCCTCTGGGGCCTGCCTTAGCAGGTTCCCAAGCACATAGCTGATCAAAATATCCGAGCAGTGGTCGTGCACTCCACAGGCGAACAGCATGGATGTGGCTTCGTGCAGGGTGTCCTTCGTCCAATTGTGTGTACAGACAAACTTGTGCACCAGCGAGCGCAGGGCCGTCTCCTCATAAAACCCAGCCTTTCCGAAGGCCCAAGCAATCCTCGCAGCATCACTCACTGTGCAGTTATCCAGCCAGCCCTCTGCCTTCATCGCCCTGGTAGATGCCTCCCACACAAGCAGCGATCGGACACTGCCCCTCGCATACCCGACAAGGGCCGTTGCCATCTCCTGGGGATCCCATAAGGACGCCCTCCTTGCACCTTCATGGGCCAGCAGTCCCCACATTCGCATGTCTCTGTACCCTAGAGTGCCAAGACTGTGAACTGCGAGTGTGAAACTCCTTTCGAAAAAGTCTGACAGCCGGTGTGGAGTGATGGCTTCGTTGGCAAACACAGCCACTGCGTCCATGTCTCGGTATTCAAGGTTTGCCATGGCATGCAACACTTGGCATATTTGCTTGGCCCTCATTGATCGAAGGGTTTCCATGGACATCAGCTGGGTGAGGAGCTTCGAGACGACGCCCTCATCTCTGTAGTTTAATTTGCCCAAAGAAAAGAGAATCCCAACTTTGCCTCTGGTGTTCACCTTCTTGCCCCGCTTTTCAATTTCCTTCAGCAATTCTCCCACAGGCTGCAGCGACCCAAAATTGCCACATGCAAACATGAGATTGAGCAAACCCTGTTCTGTGTAGTGTGGCACTCGCTGCTCATTCACTGCCTCCTTGATCAGCGGTGCCAACAACACCTTGTCTCGAAAATCCGTTTGGGACAGCCCATACAGAATGTTGCAAATGCCCTGGTTTGTCAAATGTTGCAGACGTTTGGGGCACACCACCTCTGTGACAATCTGGTGCAACATCGCCAGGTCCTGAAATTGCATGAGTCCCAGCGAGTACAAGATGTTGGACAGCCCCTGCTCCGAAAAACCCTGCAGGCGGTCCGAACAGCAGATCTCTCTTGCCAGGGGCTGCACAAGACTGGGCGGATAGAATCCACTCTTGGCCATGCCATAAAGGATGTTAGCCAGTCCATGGGGTGAGAACCTAGAAAGTCTTGCAGGCTTCACAATCTCGCTCAGCAGGGCCTGTAGGATGCCTCCATCACTGAATTCCATCTTGCCCAGGGAGTAGATGTACATGGTGAGGTCTTGTGGAGAGGAGGTTGTCAACCGTGCCGGCCTCACGCTTTCCCTTCCCAAGGCTTCAGTCAAGTCCCAGTTGTTGAAACGACAGTTTGCTAGTCCATGAAGGATGGCAGCCAACCCTTGCGATGTGCACATGAACAGCCGCTCTGGGCGCGTGATCTCACCAACAATTGTGTCCAGGACAGGCTTGTTTGTGTACTTTACTTGGCCCAGGGCGTACACTATGTTTGCCAGCTCGACCTCATTGAATCGGGACAAATACTGAAGGGCTTCCTGCGCAAGGGTGTCAGTCACCTTCCCCCTGTATTGCAAACGGGCAAAACCAAGGAGTGCGGTTGCCAGGTCCCTCGGCATCAAGTACTGCAATGTTCTTCGACTGCCAACAGTCTTGGCCAACTCCATGCACACTCTCTCATTGCCACATCCCAGCTGCCCCAATCCCCAAACTATGCTTGTCAGTGAACTTGAGTCGTGGCTTGCACTGAACCTCCGGTATGCGATTCTGGAGATTGCACAATTCACCAAATCTTTCTCTGCGGGAAACATCGCTTCATCTTCATCTGAAAACAGAGGCCTATTGGGCGACCCTCGGTTGGGTTTTCTGGCTTTTACCCAGTCCTTCCTGAGCAAGGTCAGCCCATAAATTAGGTCGCCCACCTCCCTCATACTGATAAAATCTTGGTGTTTCAGAATATGCTCACCCAAAAAGTTGAACAAATCCAGATTAAAATAGCCCATCCTGGAACACGAGCTCAGTATCGAAACACTGTCCCTGGCATTCAACTTGGTCGTGCCCACTTGCATTGTCAATTGCGCGAGATCATCCAACATTGACATTGGAGGTCGTTCATCCATCTTTTTCAGCCTGGAAAACGCAGCCCCAAGATGTTGCCCTGCAACATTCGGTCCTAGCCTGTTGAACATGTCGACAATGCCCTGGCAGCTGAGTTCCCGAAAATCGACGAAGTAGTGGCTTACACTCTGCTTTTTCTCTTGGCGATTCTTAAAAGGCCACAGCCCCTGCTGCATCGAATACACCACTTCATCTGCGGCATCCCCCGCATGGCTTTCAAGCGGCAGCTGCAGCGGCGCCACTCCAGTCGCTGTCGACAGAGCAACGGCCTCCCAGAGGCTGGGCATTGGCGCCAATGCCGGCACAGCGCGGCTTAAACGAGCGATCATTTTGCCTCCGACGGCTCCTTCACTGCACGGAAAGCCCTCGGAGCCGGTCTTCCCCAAGCAGATGCAGCTGAGGGAACATGCACCGTCGCGAGAGCGTCCCGCGACCCATGCGGTCTCGCAATTGACCCGTGCTGTGCTTGGCTCTCGGTCCTGTTATGCGCTTGATCCGGCGGCCGTAGACACGCTTGGCCACTGTGCGGAAAACTTGGGCGCAGCCTTGGCCTGCGTATGGTCAAACTGCCCTGCTTGGGCACCTCAGGAAGGGCGGATGCTTCAGTTCCAGGGAGCCATCCCGCCTGGGGCTTTGTATCCTTTTGCAGTAGTCAGCATTACGGGCGGGTTGTCATGGGGGTTGAGGGAAATTGGACGTGTGGAAATTGGACGACGGTTTGCTTGCTGCATGCCCTGCGATCATGGGCCCGTCAATTGGCACGACCACAGCACGCTGCGGGGTTGGACGTTGTCCAGGCTACACGCCCCCCCGCAGGTGGCACACTCTGGGAATCCTGCTCGCAAACCAGCGCCGCAGCCAATGCTGTACAAGCGCACTCATGTCATCCCGCTGATACACAAAAGCACATCCCAAGAATGCGCCCTTGCAAGGGCACCAGTGGAGAGAGATCACCGCAAAGAATGTGCGCTCGCAAGAAACCTTCGCCCTTGGGTGCATGCAACAGTACCGCCGGTCATCGGCAGTGTTTCGAGTCAACAACTGGTACAATTGCCATGAAGCCCCTCAGATCGCTGCAAAGCCAGTTTCAATTGGACGTCGCCAGCGCCAACCGATGTCCTTTGCTTGCAACGACGCAGATGACTGCGCGAGCGGTCACACCAATGGACAGCAGCACGAAAATGTTCAAGACAACTTTCGTCTCCGCTCTGTTACGAATTTGGCAACTGCCAGATAGCGACACAGATAACGCCCCAAAGTTTCAAACGCATCAAAGCCACGACTCAAAATACGATACTGTGCATGTTGCATGAAAGCATTTCCACAACAGATCATGGGCCAAAACTGGAGCTGATTGAACGGGTAAACGAGCGGTGAATTCCGGCCAACAAAACTCGCTGTGTCTGATCGTACCATGCATCCTAATGAAGCAGCTTCCCCAGAACACCCTTTTCTGTGACGTGGTCAGCTTCCAAAAGGCCGAGGTTGAATTCAGAAAAGTTGGTGGACCTGTTAGTGAAAATAGATCTTTTCCACATGGAGTCGTACAGCTCGAACCAAAAGTATTGGAGCCCCTGTTCGCGGGCTTGCCGTACGAAGGCGGAAAGGAACTCTTCAGCCAGTGCTTCCGACCCCTCGTTTCTCTCGCCATTCTCACTCTTCGTCGGCCACCCAACCTCGCTGATGACCGCAATTTTATTCTTCGCTGCGGCCTGCCGTGCCACATGGTGGTACAAGTGAAGGGTGTCTCCCAGCGCCTCCGCCCCGAAGTTGGGAGAGTTCGAAGGAAGCTGGCGCCCAAGGAAGGGGTGGATGTTGACGCCGACGAGATCGACTTCCTGAACGAGACTACTGCTAGTGTAACTGACGGGCTCGACGGTCGTGACGGGCACTTGGAGGAGACCTGTGCTGTTGTGCATCTCCCCCAGTCGCCTCACAGCCGCCCTGACCTGCCTGGCGTGAGAAGTTGTCATTGACAACATAACCTTCAGTTTTAAAAATGCACAGAACGTAGATTCCGCCACCGCCAGACGGCTAAACACCAATGGCATGGTATGTGAACCTACTTGTGCAGGTTATCCTGGTCAGCAGGGTGGTCCATCGCAATGTACGCAATGGCTGTGAGTTCCATCCATCGGTTCCAAAGCGCAGCTGAAACGGCTTTGGTCATGGCAGAGGTGAACGGGTGCAAAAACGCGGTGCAGGCACCAACAATTCCATGGACGGGCGCCCGGATGTAGAGCGTACCTTATTCGGCGTACCAAGTCGTCTTCTGTCAGGGTTCCCCTCAACAGCACCTCATTGCCGCAAGCTATAGCGTATAGGCTGGCTCGGGGGTGCCTGTCCAGCGCGCTCAGCATGTTCTCTATCCCTTCTTGATCCGCAGCCGGGTCACCGTCAATCCAGATACCCAAAAATATCTGGAAGTTGGAGTCCCCTTCGGACGCCTCCAGCAGCTCGTCCAGCTCAGCCCGGCACCCAGTACCGTACGTCCTCGCCCGTGTGGTGAACCTCTTCAGCGTTGCTATGTCGGCGCGGACTTCATCCCGAGTTGGGCAGACGTTCATCTCTTTCCAAGAGCTGTACGCAAGGCCGTACAGTGGCCGCACTGGATCGGAGGAGGGCGGCGTTGGCGGGGCGTGGTCGTCGGGCAGGTGCTGGAGCGAATTGATCTCCGCAGCGGGGTCGCACCCAAGTGGGCATGTGCAGGTGTCAATCGAGAACGGCCAGCGAAAGCAGTCCACAGTCTGGGGCAGCGACACAACCGGACGATTAGATGCGCGATTGGCCTATCTTTTGTGGTGTTTGCTGCTTCGGGAATGGAGTTGGGGCACTTGGTGTGTAGGTCTCGAATTCTGGGGGCGCCGAGCCGTACACGGCAGCTTTGGTTCATCGTTTTTGGACAACGGTGTTGTCCAAAATATGCATTCTTGATGCAATATATTGCAGAGGTGCCGCCGTCTTGGGGTGCCCAATCCAAGGAGGCCAGTATGCCAATGACCATCGGGGCGTGCATTTGGCGCAGAAGTGCATACTCCCGTGTACCACATAGTACACTGTGAGGCGGCAATACCATCCGCCAGAGCGGGAGCAGGAGAGCATTCAATATGTTTCTCCAATTGAGAAAATGTCAAACGCGCACTTGTTTGATTTACGCAGGCGGCTTCATTATGCTTTCCTCCGGACTCATACTATTACTATCCCCGTGGTAATGGGCTGGAGCAAAGCACATGGAACTTATCGCATGACCTACTGCTGACGATACTCCTTGTCGAAGGAACACCTCAACACTCTATCGCACAACCAAAGAAGTGTTCAGTGACTGTGTTCGGGCAAAACAGGAAGCTGACGGCTATGCCCTTGCCTTGTTACCTAAAACTTCGTGGTGATGAGCGTAATGATTCCGGGAAGATTTCCGCGGATTCACCACCACCATAGTACCAGGTACCATGGTACTGCAGTTGGACAGCAACGCGGTCATCGTTGCGCCGAGTTCTCTCGCGCCAGTGCGACAAACCCCCCAAGTATGCTTGCTGCGCCCTCCCCTTCACCCCCTCCGCCACTCCTCGAGGCGCAAGACCAAAAGGCTATCACCATCCACATCAGCGCCCCAGCCGCCACCGTTCCGACGCAAACGACGAGCGCCGCTGCGACGCGGCAGCTCTGCGACAAACGCCTCGGGGCCGTGGCCGTCGCCTTGCAGCACTCCGCCCTCGATCGGGCTGCATCCTCGGATCCTTCCCCAAGACTCCCGAGCGCCATCTCCGGGAAATCTTCTTCCACGCGTGGATTCCCACGGGGCTCACGGTGACCTAAACGGGGGGCAAGGCGCGCGCAAGGCAAGCTTTGGGCCGGCGCGTGCCAAGGGGCCTTTCTGCAGGAGGTTGTCGGGACCGGCTCTAGGCGTCGCGAAAGAGTATGGGGAATGTGGTATCCGCACAACTTCAGGGCGTACTACCGGGGAGTACATGCCGGGCTATTGCGGCGGCAAAGTTTCTGTTCGGAAGACCTTGGGTGCGCAGTCGATGTGCGCTAAGGCGCCGGGGTGCTGGCACTGGGCGCATTGTGAGGCCACGGAGGGGCGAGCGCCAACTGCCCGTGTTTACTGGTGCGGAGTCAACACCACCTGCACGGAGGAAATTGCCTCGATTATGGCCTATGCATCGATTTAAAATATCATTACAGTTCTGTGATTGAACACCGTATCATCACCACCCTCCGGCAATTGACTCCGTAAGTAAAAATTAACGACGACCCGCCCTGAGCTTGGCAGAGTGCATGGTGGTACTCGGCAACCATCACGATGTTTTGCCACTTCAAAGTGTTGGAACTCGAGTACAGGGGTTGGAAGCATTCGATTCTTACATGTCTAAATGGGCGTCAGTTGGAGTCAGTGCACGTTCCAGCATCGGTGGGCTGACAAATCGTCCAAAATAAATTCGAACAGGAAGTTGAAATTCACTTCGGACAAAACAGGGAAAAGCTGGCCTACCTGCCATCCAAACCGCAGTTTCAATGAAGGAAATCAGACCTGTACGCAACGGGTATGGGTACCCGTACCACCGGCACGATCCCCGTTCCGATTAGTCACTGGAATGCGTACCCCTATTATGTATGGAAATCCGCAGCCTCTCGCTGGTACGGCCAGGATCGGGCCATACCCTTATCGTACCCGCACCGGCCCTGCGGCCCACACCCACACTTCAGCGGTGCAATGCCACCAATCAGCGAAACTGCGGGAGAACAAGGGCTGCCTCCGGCGTTTCGCTGCTGTTCCCCCGTTGCAAGCGCCCGGTATGCGAACTGGCCGGATAGCCGAGAGTGGCGCAGTTGAAGGCATTCCGCCCACCGCGTCGTGAGCGCGGCGAACGGTCGCGCATGTCATCCCTCCACCCGTGCCCTGACGCCCACTGGCAGGCGTCAATGCGCACCCTGAGGCGCGCCTTCGCGCCGCCCGGCCTCGCCCAGGGCGGTCGGTGGCCGTCTCCCCGGGGCGCATGGCGCTCGTGCGCCCCGCCGGGGCGGCCTCATCATCGCAGGAGGGCAAAAATCGTGGCGGGCGCCTGCTGCAGCAGCTCCCATCACCACCACCATCACCATCATCACGAGGCAGACGGCCAGTTGGCCAAGGCTGGGAGCGGCGGGCAGGGGTCCCCATGGTCACTCAAGGCTCTTTTGGTGGCCATCCTGGGGCGCACAGGCATTCGGTCCGTGACCCACAGGCTGGAGCACAGCGCGGTGGCCTCCAGTGTGGCGGTGGTCGGCCTGCTCGTGGCCACGGCGGCGACCCTGACGGTGGGCGGGACCCGGCCGGAGCCCCCGCTGGCGC